CCCCAGTTGCCCCGCGTGTAGCCCGTGGTTATGGTTTACAGTACCCTGTATGCGGCACAGCGCTTGGCTTGTTTGTCGCGATGGGCGCTTGAGGATGTCAGGGCGCCTTCTGTCCTGGTTTCAAGAACATGGACTATGCTTGTCTTGGTTTTAGTGAACCATATGCTACTGTGAACATCTGGAAATCGCCTGTTGCAGTTGCACGACCCGCCTCAACTTGTCATGCATTCTCCACAAGCTACAGATTGGCTTTCATGAACTGTCACTAATTATGTCTCAGGGCAAGGAGAGATGGTCGTTCTACCAATGGAACTCTCACCTTCCGACGATCATCTACAACTCCTTTGGGCCAGCCCTCTTCGCAGCCGCCGCCCTCGACGGATCACGCAGTTCAGCATCCCACTGCCGAAAGCCCTGTGTCTGCGTCCCCATCGACATATGAGCTGCCACCAGCGCGGTACACCAAGGAGGACCTGTTAGAGATGTACCGTCCACAAAGGTTAGCCGACGATCCAACTCGTCTATTTGCCGCGGGGTGGAATCCTGGCCAAATCAATGGACATGCTCCTAGAGGCTGGGGTAAAAGCAACGACAACCATATTCCACAGGAACCTGGCGCGTGCTGGGATGATTCTGGAGATTCAACCCCAATGGGACTGCAGGATATGTCGTTGGAGGAGAAGGAGGTGCGCCGGCCCCCGCACTATCGCTGGTGTTCAGAGTTTGTGCTAACCACTAGTAGGCTTTCAATGAGATAAACTCGCCGCTTAAACCTCCGACCCTAAACAAAGACGCCCACCAAGGTGGCGCAAATGGACGTAAAGCATCCTTATCCCAAGGCACTTCCAATACTTTCGGCGTCAGTTCACCTTCGTCAGCTACACGACCCGGGACTCGACGACGTGAGACTATCGAATCTAATCCTTTTGGTGGAAGTGCTTTAGCATCTCCCACTGCTAATCGCTTCTCTCGTGACGATCCGTCTTACTGGTTTCAACGCAGCAAAACCGATCTCAAAGAAGCCGAAGCCGACGAGTCCGATAGTGAGGCTGTTCTCCGTGACGCTCCTGGAAAACTCCCTCCCTTTGGAAACCTGATGCGTTCCAATACAGGCGGTATCGGGGGTACCAATCCCATATGGCCACCCTCCAACCAGACGACACCTGGTGTAGGAGCCTTTGGTAATTTCGCACTGCCGACTTCGCCCGCCGTTGGTGACAAGCGTGTTGGGGGTGCTGCTAGTGGGAGCAGGTTGGCTCATCTCATCCCCAAGGACAGCTCGGATAACCTCAGTGGCAAGGCAACTGAGGGTCAGAACCCTCTTAACCAGCAGTCTTGGCGGTCTCGTCCTCGAACCGACACCGATCCATTTGGTGATGATACCCTATCAGGAAGCGCGGTTCTGGGTGGAGCTCAGGATACTGACGCTGGCGGGATGTCTCAGCAAGCAAATCGAGCAGGGACCCTAGGTACTCCAGTTAAGGGATCCGCTGGCGACTTTGGCATGGCAGGCCTGAACTTCAGATCCCATGGGGATGAAGGCCCTGTCAGCCCCTCCGAGACTAATCCCTATCGCAGTCCTCCTGCTGAGCGGCAAGGCCACGATGAGAACGATGCCAATGACGACAAGTCCCACGGCGCAAACCTTCACGATGCCCCCGCGAATTTCGGCTCGATCGGTCGCGGCTTTGGTGGCTATGATGGAGGTGATCGTAGTCAGACCTCGAGCGTTGGCGCCAAGGCTTACCCATCTTTGAACACTTTATCGGGCTGGCCTGCTTCCGGTAATCCTGCAATTGGCACTCCGGATCGTGAGCGACCTAACTTGGGCTCTGCATTTGGTGCTTCTCTTTTTAGTCCTATGGGTGACCTCCAGTCGCCTGGGCTGTCCAACCTAAACAATGTCTTTGGCCCTGCCAGCGCTGGTGGTCTTGGGACAGGAAGCATAGGCCGCGGCAGCAAGATGGGCTCTCTTTTCCCGCCCGCAATGCAGGCACAGATGCAGAGTCATGAGCATGATAGTCTCTCCGATTCCCTGCCCGACCTACGTCAGAGCAACCCTCTCGGTGCTATCGGCCGATCAAACTTTGGCGTACCGCTTCGCGAGGGCGACAGTCCCATGCGAGCTAATCGCGGTGTGTTTGGAGCACTTTTCCCGGGTCCTGAGGCTTCCCAAGCACAAGGTGTCTTTAGCACTGGGGAACCTAGTCATCCTACCACCACCGCAACTGTTCCTCAATCCCTTACCCCCGTTGGCGGTGGTCTGCCATTTGGTGGTGGACAAGGCAGCACTGAGCCTCCTACCACTCAGGCCCAACGCACAATGGTCATGCCTGACCGCATGAGATGGGTATATCTGGATCCTTCCGGACAGGTTCAGGGGCCCTTCACAGGACTCGAGATGAATGATTGGTACAAGGCAAACTTCTTCACCCCCGACCTCCGTGTAAAGAAAGTCGAGGATCAGGAATTTGAACCTTTAGGTCAGCTTATCCGACGTATCGGGAACTCCAGAGAGCCGTTCCTGGTTCCTCAGATTGGTATTCCTCATGGACCCCCAACCCAAGCCGGACCTTTCTCTCCCCAGGGAAACAGTGGAGTGGTCCCTCCTTTGAGCGGTGTGTTCCCTAGCTTTGGGCGCACTCTCACGGCTGAGGAACAGAACAACTTGGAAAGACGTAAGCAAGAAGAACAATATCTCATGGTACAGCAGCGCGAGTTTGTCATGCGTGCTCAAGCTATGTCTAAGTTCCCTCTGCCGGGCCCAATGCTCCAGCACCACTCCAGTGCGCACAGCTTGCAGAGCCAGCCAAGCTTTGGTAGCATTTCGTCCCCAAACCCCATTGGAATGCCTCACCAGCAGCCCATCGGTGCTATGCCCCCTTCGGGAGCTTTTTTTGATGGAGCTGGACCAGTTGGCAGTCAAGCAGCCATGCCATCGGGTTCGGGAAACGGAGACCCCTTCAGAGATGATGACCTAAACAACCTCACAAGTAGCGAACGTCAGGTACTTGCTGGCCTGCAAGGCTCTGGTGCTCCACTGCCTATTGGCGCCCCTGCCGCTGATGCGGCACGCGCTAGTCTTCCTGACACCGATAACCTGGAGCAAGATCCGGAGGGGTTCAAGGAGCGCCTTCAAGAGTTCGAAGCCTACCGAGCCCAGTTCGAAGCTGAAAAGGTCGCCAAGGATATCGAGGGCAACGACGAGGAACCGATTGAGGAGTCATCCCCTGCGTCTGAGGTAGCCACTGAAGAAACTCAACGGCCCACAGAGGCCCCGGCTCTAACTGGTAAGGCTGCTCGAGCTGCCAGGAAGAAGGCTGCCGAGGATGCCTTGTCTCTGACTCAACAGGTCCAGAAGACTCAGGCTGCTGCTGCTGCCGCCGCCGCTCAGCCAGTAGAGCCCGATATGCCCATGCCTTTCCCTCCCCCTGCGTCCACTGGCACTCCTCTCCCCGCTCCGACAGCTCAGCGTGCTCGTTCAAACCTACCTGAGCAGTATAACCGTTCTCAGACTGGAACTCCTGATAGCGTTTCAATCAATGCTCAGCCACCACCCCTGGCTCCTTGGGCCAAAGACCACGGCGTCGAAGGACACAAGGGGCCCAGTCTGAAGGAGATTCAAGAAGCTGAGGCACGAAAGGCTGCAAAGGCTGAGGAGGCTGCTGCTGCCCAGAGGAAAGCTATTCTTGAGCAAGAGGCTGCGGCACTCAGAGAGAAAACTGCTGCTGTTGCCAATGCTGGCCTGCCTGCTACTAGTACTTGGGGTCACGGCTCGCCTGCTCCTTCTGCTAGCCCTTGGTCCAAGCCCGGACCCTCCAAAACCACATCTACGTCTACTCCCTCAGTTTCAGCCTCAAGCAAGAAGACCCTCGCTGAGATCCAACGTGAGGAGGAGCTTCGCAAGCAGAAGGCAAGCCAGGCGAGCTCACAAGCCGGAACTCCGACTAGCGTATCAAAGAGTTATGCCAACCTCGCTGGAAAACCCGGCCAGTCTACACTCACCAATGCTGCATCTGCGGCGGCGGCTGCGGCCGCGCCACCCCCTGGAAGTGGCTGGGCGACCGTTGGTGCTGGTGGCAAGATCAAGGCTCCCGTTGGCCCACCGTCTCAAGGTCGATCTGTCAGCGGAACAACCATCAAGCCTATGACCTCACCTGTGAGGTCTGTCTCTAAGCCAGCTGCTCCAACTAACGGCAAGGCCGAGGGCGGCAACACTGCTATGGAGGAGTTCAATAAGTGGGTGAACCGGGAGCTTTCCCGGGGCATCACTGGTGCTATTGATAGTAAGTCCCTTTGACAACTACAGAATGATTGTTATTTGAAGTGAACTAACCAAATCCTCTAGTTCCCACCTTTCAGGCTGCCCTCGATGTCTTGCCCCTCGACACTGGTTTGATTGCTGACGCCGTTTACTCCAACTCAACCACCATGGATGGCCGTCATTTTGCCGAGGAGTTTGTTCGCCGCAAGAAGCTCGCTGAGCGTGGAGTTGTTGAAAAGCAGCCTGACAACAAGGGGGGCAATGGAGGCGGTTGGAGCGAAGTTGCCAAAAAGGGAAGCTCTAGCAGTGCTGCTGCAGTTGCTACTAGTCCTCGCGATGATGCCAGCATGCAGGCCGCGGGATTCAAGGTCGTGCCAGGCCGAAAGAAGGGCAAGAAATAGAGGACAGAATCTGTGTGCATTGAGTCTTGTCAGAGATTTCATTGATTACTGTCACTGAAGCTGGCGATACTTTCTATGGTTGAAGCCGGCTATTCTATCTGTCATCTCTATAGCATGTTCTGCAAACCAGGCCGAACTGTACCGCGCAACTTTGAGTTGAAAGGGCCACGAGATAACGTATGACGAAAAGAATCTGTTAATGGCATGGATGTTGGAGCTGGGCTGGAGAAATATCTTGTTGCTTAAGTTCTTCGACTTTCATTCGACTACAAGTTATTGATTAGTGTGTAGGAGATTAGCTCAAGCCTCATGAAGCGTTGTTGATGATTGCAAACCTCCCATACATGTCACCTTGTGAATATTTCCAGTGATTGCGAGTCTTTTGTTGTGTTCAATTAACAAATCGTTCGGGAAAGTTAAGACCCGAAGTACCAGTTTGAACATTCCATTTCCGGCCTTTTCTATCAGAAGCTCATTCTACTCTTTTCTATCATGCTCGATACATGACCTAGCCAGGTCTTTTTCATGCCCAAATTGTATCCTCAGGAGGAGATTCTTAATCCTTTCATCAAAGTCTCCAAGGTCTTCCAACCCTCACTTCCCTCCCACCTCTCCTTTCCTCGGCCCATTACACTCCTTACAGCGCTTCTTGCCTTGCCCTTCCACTTACTGCCAATGGACTCAACTGAAGGACCCCAGTTCTCAAACACAGACACCAGCTCGTCAGTTCTCTGCACAACTATAGTCCATGCACCCTCGTCAACAGTCCAATCTCGCGCCTCGTCGGCTGTCGTGGCTGCTGCGCCGGGCAGAAGGCCACTACCTGAGGATCCTACGGCTGCACGCCAAGCTCGCTCTGCTGCATCAATAGCGCCTGCGTAGTCCCTTCTCCAGGCGCGTAGGCGTGAGACCAGAGTCCAGAGTTCAGAACGCTGTGTGATGAGGGGGACGACTTCCTCTTCAAAGAGACGCATCACCAATCGCTCTGGTGTGCCACGGGGAGGTTCATAGACGCCTGAACTTGAAGGCTTTTCCACGGAGAGTACGGCGTCTTGAAGCAATGCCCCGAGAACATCCGCGTCGAGAGCATCTTCCGACTTGCGGACCTTGATGATGTGTTTGAGAGCGAGGATCATGTCGGGAATAGCGGGTGGCTGCACACGCGAAGCCAGTGTGAGTACGTTATCCCAGATTCGCCAGTTATCGTGGGCGATGGAAGCACCTCTCTTGTAGGCCGCCAGGGACTGGGCCAGAAGCGTAGCTGGGTCGCGATCTGAAGGCTTAAACGCAGCGGCAAGAGCAACGTCGTCCTCCTCGTCCTCTGCAGGGACAGGCGCAGGGGCTTCTGATACGGGAGTAGGGTTGTTCTTGGCGTCGGCAATAACCTCACAGTAAAGACTCCAGAGAGCACTTCCCAGGTTACTCCAGGTTCGTGCATCTTCACCTCCGGCTGTGTCGCTTGCAGATCCAATAGAACGATTGAATGCCTCAGCGGCATCGCCAAACTGCGCAAGTCGCAAGCTGATATCTCCAAGACGGCTCCACATCTCAGGACTCAAACGGTTGACAGCTGTCGCCTTCTTGTAGGCCTCACGGGCCTTCTCCCATTCCTTGTTCTGTAGGTAGTACTCACCGAGAGACTTTTGAGCTCTGGCGTATCGGTGCTTGGAGATTTCCCACGCTCGCTCATAATAAGATGGTTCATTTTCGATGTCACCCAGAATACAGAACAGTCGGGGAGCATTGGGTGGTGGAGGATCGCGCTCAGGTCCAGAGAAGTCTGCGGCCTTGAGAAGTGTAACGTCTTCACCGATATCCTCATCATCGGGATCTGAAGGTGATGCTGTGTCCCCAGTGCGGTGGAACAGTCTCCATCGAAGGATTCCCTTGGCCTTCTCCTCGCCACCACTGCCACGGCCATCTTCGTCCTCTGACGCAGCGGCGCTGGCAAGGCAGAGTGCAACTTCAGCCCACAATCGAAGGCGCTTGAAAATCTCGAGGGCAGAAGCCAAAGAGCCGATACCAGCCCAAGCGTAGGCCAACTCTGACTCGAGATGCCATCGAGGAGGTGAGCAAATAGCGTGAATGTACTCAAGACGTACGTGAGCTGGTGCAGACTCAGAGGCCTTGGGCGCAGGCAAGAAAGATGTTGGCTTGGGCTGAACAGGCACAGAAACTTCACTCGGGGTAGTGATCTGGATAGCTGGAGCGTCTGTCTCCGAGTTTTGCTCCTTTGCCTCGGCTTTTTGTTGGGCTTCCGCTGTGGTATCAGTGAGTACTTGGTCTGCCACAGCCTGAAGCTGAAGAACACCTCGCTCAACCGTTCGGCTGCGGTGGACCTCAATTCTGGATCGGACCAGCAATGCCTGAGTGTAAATCTGCCAGTTCGTAGACTTGTCTCCGATGACTCTTACTGCGTATGGCAGCACCTCTGCTGAAGTCAGGGTATCAATGGGTGAGAAAGCATCCTTCAGCGTAGCCTCAGTAAGGAGAATGATCTGGTCAAGAGGCGAGAGTTGAGGCTGGTCGTCAGGTGAAAGATCAGCCAGGGCAGCGGGAAGGGAGGCCTTCTTATCGTTTCCGTTCGTTTCCTTGGTAAACTGGATTTCCTCATGTAGAGTGTCATCATTGAGCTGAAGAGCATCTGGCTTGACTTCCTCTTCAGCGTCGTCCACTCGCTGTTCCGAACCGCTCTTGGCCAAAACGACAAGCTGGCTGATGCTATTTTCTTGGAATTTGGTTCTCTTTCCAAGGGCACCTGAGAGTGCATACTCTAGGCCGCTTGTTTGGGAGGCCTCCTTGATAGCTTCCTTGGCCTTGTCGTCGCGGCCGAGTAAAATGTAGTTGTTGGCTGCTTCAACAAGGAACTGCACTTTCTCCTCGCGACTCCAACCATCATCACCTGATGCCCATACCTCCTCTCCAAGGATCTTGGACCTCACATTATCGATTCCGTCCAGAATCTGGGATGCCAACGTTGGCACGTCGCTCCACTGGGAGCTTCGAGCAAAGTTGGATCCATGTCCAAGGGTAGGCTGGGTCAGGAGCTTGTAATGCCAGACATTAACTCGAAGCTGTGTCCAAGCAAGACTGCTCTTGATTGGCTTTTCCTCAGAAAGTATTTCCACTACATCATTGTCGGCTTGACCTAGCTCCTGTGTGATGATGTATTTCGCTAGGGCGAAGAGTTCCAGGTGAGGGATGTAGGCATATGGTGAGACGCCGTCAACTTCAAGATAGCCAAGACAAGCCTTATGAAGGTGAGCGTGAGTCTTGTTTGCATCATCTGACTGCCCACTAGCCCATGCCTTGGTGAAGAGTGTACTGAGGGCCGCTGACTCCGGAAGAACAGGACCTGTGACGTTGACTTGAAGGAAGGCGTTCAAGGTAGCAAGGCCAATGGCCAGAACTCGGGGAATATCTGTGGCAGATTGAGTCTTGGTATCAGATCCGGATGTCAACCGAGTAATGAAAGCTTGTATCAGAGCCCCGGCCACCGGAGCTGGCTCCGATACGGAGCCGGAGGTAGAGTTCGGAGCGGGTTGTGACTCGCTACCGGGGTCCTTTGAGAGAATGATAGAGGCATAGCGCCCGTTGCGCAAAGCGCTACCGCATTCGCTCAGACTGCCCATAGCTATATTTATCTGTAGCTAACCTCAAGACAATGTTATTTTGCCTTTGTTGACCAAGAAACGGTGCCAGTTGGGCGTCAACGTTATGGCGTTGAGAAAGCAGGGTTAGGTCTTGGCCCCAGCCTCGCACTGCACTGAAGATACTCTCTGCTCTTCTGATATTTGAGACGGGCGAGAAGAAAAATGCGGCAGTTCTGTGAGTGTAACTGGACCGCAGAAGGTATTTTAGACTTGTTCCTCCGTTGGTATAATTTTTGTTGATAGAGTTGTGCCTGGTGTTTACTAATACAGCCAGTCGTAGGCTTCTATTGACTTCGCCGTTTAGTTTTTTTTTTTTTCCTCACTTCTCCGCACCGCTCGCTGCCCCTCATCGGCCGGCCACCGAAAAGGACGGAGTTTGCCCCCACCAAAAAGTCTCCGTTCCGGCCGAAGTATCAACGGTCCCAAAATGAAATGATCATCTACAGCAATGCATCTTTGGCAAGTATAGTATGTACATGGTAGCATGGGTCTGATTGACAGCATGCTTTATTTAATAGCAGTCCATAGTATGTAGTGATCTACGCATAGCTTTTTTATCTCACATCAAAAACAAATATAGATATATATGTCTATATCTATATCGATTTGCTCCCAAGACCCGAACTTGGCCTTGGAGTAACTCAGGCCAAGAAGACTCATCAGTCTTGGAATTCCAAGAATTTGGAGAACAACACTTCTCTTCGCCTAAGCTAAATCTCTTTGTAAAAAGCTTACGTACCGTGTGGTGGTGGCACATATAGCCTTGGTCTTTAAGGATGGATGGCACGGCAATCGAAAGATTGGCAGCTTGGCTCAAACATGTCATGACCTAAAAGTTCTAGAAATGATTTATTTTCTTGGCCAGTCTCATCTGGCATCATCTTGTTCGACAGATGAAGAAATTTCACCAACGGCTTAATCGAACCGATGGAGAGCGTCAAGAACCGATACGATGTTTTCTGATCTTGTGGATACCCTCATCAACTGTCGTCCGACATGCTCAGTAGCTTCAACAGGCCTACCAGGTTTACGGTCGAATCACGTCTTATACAGCCAAAGCGTCGTTCTCTTTTTGTGACCTACGTTTAATAAGGAACGTCAGGGTCCGTTGCAGCCTACAGGGCTCCTTGTCCGTTTCCACGAGCCGTTCCCACTTTTCAGTCCCTGATCTAGACCCCATCGATGCTTTTAGACCGCAACTAGACAGAGTTGGGGAAAGCCATGCGCCTCCCTCCAAGGCGTTTAGAACGGGGGTCTGTGAGTAAAAACCGTACCAATCGAAACTAAACAACGCAACTGTGTACGGAAACCGTCCAGCGTCAAGCAAGGTTCGACAAGTCCTCTGGATGTTCATCAGTCTCCACTACCAGTACGGTAAAAGTGGGTGCAGACTTGTCGCTGCGTCGCATAGCGCGAGGTTCGGCGTAATACCGAAGCCTATGAGAGGCCTTTGTTTGTCGTGCACCTCTCAAGATTTGGAGGAAAAGCTTATTGCTTCCTCAAACCGGAGAGATTTGCGCTTCTATCAGTGCCACTGTGGTTACGCGCCTGACGTACAACGGTTCAGCCATCGTTGATGAAGCCGCAAATGCATCGACCAAATAGTGATTGGTGTCTAAGCATGAATCTGACTGTAACATTCTGTCAGGGCATGCAAGAAACGCACTTTGTACGGCGTGCAGCCAGCGGCCATGTCCGTGTATGCCAAGGCAGGACAAAACCACCGCCAGTCGTAATTCGATGCCAAGAATTAATAGGCACAGCCTTCCACCAACTGTGAAATGCGTCTAGGCGATGGAATCGAGCAGTGGAGACTGGCGTAAATCCTAGCCTGTACATTGAGCTATTGAACGTTTGAGACGGTTCATTGGACACTTGTAAGACAAACGCACTGAACTTACTCCGTTAACGATGACAAAGATCGTGATGGACCCAGCCAACGTAAACCGGGCGCACGTACTGCACTGTAGGGCGAGAGCTGTACGACAAACTCCATAATATACTCCCAATGAGTGAGAAATTGGCGCCAGGCGCGCCAGACGCAGTTCACGGAAGTGCAAATATGTTGCATGTCTCGGCCCGTAATACCAGCTTATGTCGTCAGGCCCGAGTCCTGAAGAACAAGGGTCCGGTCTGCTGCAAGGGTTCTCAAGAAATCGCCCATCTCACCTTCAGCTCGGTTGAGGGTGCGGAACACACAGGACAATACATTCTTCAACTGCACTATGACCTCTTCCCCACGCGACAGGGGCGATGTTGGGTTCAGCATGCTGCAGTTTCTATCATCATAGTGTTGCATCGCAGCTATGCATGTTTCCCCTTGTTCCACAGGAGATTGGGGATACCTAGATCCAAGTATACGGTAAAAGTCTGAAAGAATTGGCAGTACCCAATCCAGACTGGACATGATATTCGCTGGAACATGGCCAAGTGCGTTCCTGTCTAGACAAGCTTTCTTTGTGTTTGAAGTCGAAGTGTATTCTCAAGTATTGCTTGTCAAACAATCTTATGACTTGGGCCACTCCTCTCGACAACAAAGCAAGTTGGCCAGATGGAAGGTGGTGAGACAACTGCTTCGAGTTACTTGGGGTTACGTCTCGATGCCTGGGCGCTCTTGGCTGCGTCGCTCATTCCGCTCCTCAGCGCAGGATTAATGATCGACACGTGACCGGTGAACCTCTCTCAAGTATCCGACATCAACATGAGACATCCAACGTTGACGCGTGCCACCGCCGCCAAGTTTGTGGCGTTGGGGTCGAGTTGATGGTGGGAGGAGAGTTGGTGTGAGAGCGGCGAAATGAGACGTCGTTGAAAGTAAGTATTTATGTAATGGTCACTCCAGTTTTTTTCGTGACCACCGTGACTACGGCCGTAATAAAACGATGAAGTGAAGTGTCAGAAAGAATTGCCGTGTTCGAGACCATGAGGGTATGCTACACCCCCGGATTCCACGCAACTGGGACTCATTTTAGGGTAGTTTGCTGATCTGTGATGCACGAGCGACTCCATCGTTGATCTGGGGTCCAATAGATGAGCAGAAAGCTTGATGCCTTCTTCTGTCGATCAAATTCTGTGTTCGATGATAGACATAGGTAGGGAAAGCAAAGCGAGCCCAGTACTGGCTGCCTAGTAGCCTGTCTGGCTGTGCTGCTGCAAGTTACAGTGGTGCTTTAACCAAAGCCTGAAATCTATCTCTTTAAGTGGCACAAGACTACAGCGGGGTCACGACAGGGGTATAGGACCTATCAAAATGAGCGCTACTTAAAGTACATTCGCACGCACCTAATTTTGCGTATAATAGAAGTACCAGCAGTTAGCTAAGTTATAAATAGCTACCTTAAAGACTTTATAACTATATTAGGTCTATACCCTTTATTTATTTCCTAATATTAGCTATAGATAACCTCCTTTTTCCTTCCTTTTTTTAAAGGGTTAAGGCTGCCCTTACTGGCAGCCTTTATAAGCTAGGCAGTTAAAAGGCATGCCTTAATAGATATAATTAATATCTCTTTATAAGTAAATTTACTATACTTTAATATCTTTAGTATCTTCCTCCTTCCCTATATAGTATCTCTTCTTTATATAACTCTTAGTTTTATATTTATTAAAAATAGTATTATAAATAGCCTCTTTTTAAGCTTTAAGTATACTATAAGGCTTTTAATAAGGCTACTATATTTTTTTCTATAAAATAAAGCTATTTATAAGTATAACTTTAAGGAGGAAAGACTAAAGTAATACTTACTAAAGACTATAATAAAATTAATATTAATATATTATATAAGACCTTATTTAATTACTATAATTAATATAATTTATTTTATTATTATATTAAGTAATAATAATAAAAATAAGGATTATCTTAAAGCTATTACTATTAAAGACTTATTATAGGCATTATGCCTTTACCTTTATGCCTCTTTTAATAGGCTTTTTCCTCTTTTTTAATATATACTTATAAGGGGCTCTGCTAAGTATAGTTAAAAGGAAGAGCATAATATTACTATCTTTTTAAGTAATTTAAATAACTTAAAGAAAAAGGAAATAAATAAATTAGTAAGGGAAATATAGGTAAAGCTATTTATACTTATTTATCTTATATTAAGATTAAATATACCTTATTATATTATAAAGCTATACTATTAAGAGCTTTTTTAATCTCTTTTATTTACTTTATCTTAATACTAATACTATAGTTAGGGCATATTATGCCTATAATACTATAGCTAAGCTACTAAAGAAGGCAAAAGAGCTATAATAATAAAAAAAGGTTATTTATAAAGATATAATATATCTATATTAATAGCCTTTTTAGTAAGTAAACTATAATACTTTATATATTATTAAGAAGAATCTTAGTTTATAGCTTTCCCTTTTTACTATATAGTATTAATATAAGTAGCTTAATTATAATAGCCTTATATAGTAATGCCTTTATATACTAAAGCTATTATAAAAAGTAGCCTTATTATATAATAACCTAGACTTTAAACCCTAGTAGTATAGGCTTATTCTTAATAACTATTATCTCTTTTAATCTGCCTATAAAAAGGACTATATACTTATCTATAATTAAATTAGTCCTTAGAAAATAAAGCTTAATAAATACCCTTTATATATAATTAAATTACTTTTTAGCTACTTAAAAGGTCTTTAAAAGATTACCCTTATTACTTATATTAAGCTTAATATAATTAAAAGTATAAAAATACCTTATAATTAACTAGAATTTCTATAATAATATAAACTTAATAAATAAATAAAGAAAGTATTAATCTCTTAGGCTAAGGGACTTTTAATAGTTTATAATTAATATTTCTTTATAAATTTATAAGTAAATAAAGACCTTAAGCTATATATAAGCTATTAAAGTAAAGATACCTTCTTACTTAATAATATAAGACTATTTATAAAGAAGGGTATTTTAGTTATTAATAACTGCATTTTTAAGTAAATAAGTAACTTAGCTATTAATATATTTAATCTATAACTATATAAGGGAAATAAGTATAAAAAGCTAAAATAATTTAAATAGTTATTAAGGTAAAGGGTTAATTTAAAAATTATAATATTTAATATTAAAAAGTTAAAAATTATTATTATAGCCCTCTTTAGCTAGAAAATTAGGCATATTAGTAAGGTTATTAGCTGCCCTTAAAGGCAGGGTATTAAAGCTATAATTATCTATAAATTTAGGTATTTTTAGAGAGCTTATTATTTTATTTAAGACTTACTAAAGGTGATTTATATAAGGATTTAGGTGCTTTAAATAAAGAAGCTATCTAACGAGAACTTTACATACCCTGCAGGTACTAGCAGGGTTAGTAAGCAAAGTGGAGCGAGTGACCTGCTGTAGTCTTGTGCCACTCAAAGAGATAGTGAAGCCTGCGAATGGAAGAAGGACTCGCTACCAACGGTTGTGGCCCAATTTGGCAGGTGTGATCTACCTCAGCCTGGCGACGATGACGTCAGAGATACTACTGCGGACATTATTACTTGCTTGCAGTAGCACGTGAGCAAGAACGCAGTCCCTCCAACAACAAGAACTATCACAGAATTTTATCAGGGCTTGAGGATTTATGAAAAACAATCATATGTGAATTCTCCTGAAACTCTACATGCCCTTTCGGTCCGTGTTGCGAGAAAATTACGCAGTTGTTGACTTGGCTACCAATTTCCACGCATCAATCATGTCTCTGCTCGATCTGGTTGGCCACGAACTAACAGGAAGCTTATCTTTCGAGGAGACTTTATAGGGCACTGGCCACTGTAAGATAGCTCCATCCATCCGCTTCAGTGGAGGTCACCCACTGAGGCGAGTTTTTGGAGAAGCTCCACACTGCTTTTACAGTGGAGGTTACCCCTCTGGCGGAATTGGCTCCAGCCAGAGCCTCCAGATCCCCGACTTCCGTGGAGACTCCGAATTGGCTCAAAGACATTTAATATGATCCAAGACCGGGCAATTTTCGGATTGCCCAGAGAAAGGCCCCTTTCCAAGAGCGACACTAACAACGCGGAGTGCCTAGGCACCAGCAATTATGAAGGACGGCTTACTTCTGGTGATCAGCATATCCCAAGACCTAGGGTCCAACGTCAATCGGCAAAAAGCACCCTTATCAGCAGTGGTCCACTGTCGGGGAAGCATCCTGACAAGGATGCATGGATGCGTCCAATGTACGAGGTACATGCGAGTGGAGAAAGAGATATCTCTGATGGGGAAGATCCCACCCCTCTCCATGGGGGTGGAGAAGCGCCAAGTACCATGGCCTCGAGCAGTACAAGGAAATATCCAGACGCCAGAAACGCAAAATGACCCAACAAGCTCTCTCGAGTCAAGTCTAACCGCACAAAGTTTGGACCATCAGACCAGGCTCTGACCAACATCGTCATGAAATATATCGCCTTTTGCCCTAAAATGAATGTTTGGAAGTGGAACTGTACTGGGATGAACCAAGGAACACATTCAACAGGATAACTGCGAATGAAGGGAGGGCAGTAACACCAAGTGGAGAGAGCTGAAACGTCTTTGAATTAGTTGTCTCTGCGGAAGGACGAGAGAGTCAGAAAGAGCCCGCAACAAGATGTACGGAACACCAGAGCCTCGTGGCTCGCTAAATGGTCAAAAGACGTGTAGATGAACCATTCCTTTGGGTCCAACCAATGTACGGATGGTCAGCAGAGGGGACGCCGAATACGACACATCGCGCAGCCTGATCCATACCATGTCGAATCTGTTGCCGCATCGAAAAACTGTACGTATGTTGCCCTGGGAAAACTGCGCAGAGCAGACAATTGAGCGCAGTTTCTCTAAGGTAAAAGCAACAAAAATCGAAACTACACACTGGCATTGAGCCGGGATTGGTTGGTTGACTCGACCGGGCGTGAAGTAGGAATAACCCATGTCGTCAACTTGTTACATGCAACCGAGGTATTTAATATGCCTCACGCAAAGGTGCAGATACTTGGAACTGAGGTAGCCCGAAGCAGTTGGCCTCGAGAGTTGGGCTTGGCTTTGTTTCTCCACTCCTCCTTCAGCTAATCCTGGTTCGGACTGGCCGCCATCATCCCGCTGCAGTCAATACAGTAACTGCGGCTTGGCCTCCAACAGTTCGACTCGACTCGATTTCAGCAGAAAGCCCCAGGATTTACTTGCATGTTGTACCTACCTTGCTGCTAGGCTGTTCCCTGACTTGAAAGCAGTAAGAAAAGGGCAAGGGAAGATGGGTTGGGGTCAATCGAAGCTCTTCCCCCCCATGTCAGATTTTACTTATTAACTTCAACGCCCGCACCTCCAAGATACAACTTTCTTCTCCCCTCTCACCTCGTGTTTTTACACCTTTAACGCTTTTCTATACCTGTGTTTCGCACGGTATATTCAATTCACTCTCGTCTGCTTGCTTCATTGCTTCGCAGACTCTTGCTCGATTGTCCTTCCTTCGACCTTGTTCGCAAGAATATATCGATAGACCGAAACCAACCAAGCCTGCAAAGGCGACATCTTTCAAGATGGCTTCCGACGAGGAGAAGAACTCCAACAACTACATCAGCAATGCTGGTTCTACCGACAAGTACCTGGCCGACAACGGCGACGTTGCGGCCGGCCACACTATGGACAACGCTGATGGCTTGCACCGTCTCCTCAACAACCGACAGATCCAGCTCGTTGCCATTGGTGGCTCCATTGGTACTGCTCTCTTCGTGAGTATCGGTGGTGGTCTCGCCCAGGGTGGTCCCCTCGGTTTGTTCCTCGCCTATACAATCTACTCTGGTATCCTCGCATGTGTGAACAATGGTGTCGCCGAGATGAGCACTTACATGCCCGTTTCTGGTGGCTTTATCCGTCTCGCCGGTCATTGGGCCGATGACGCTCTTGGTTTTATGGCTGGTTGGAACTTCTTCCTCTACGAAGGTCTTCTGATTCCATTCGAAATCACTGCCATCAACCTTGTCCTCTCATACTGGAGCGATGATATCACGAAACCTGGCCCTACAGCTGGCATCTGTATTGGTGTCATTATATTATACGCGTAAGTACAAGGTTCTTGAGATGATTGCGCTTTTCTCCGCTGTTTCGCATGTTGGTGCCATACTGGTCTGCTTGATTCTATCGGCTCAGCTGGTCGTGAACATGAAAATATCCGCTCATCTCCTCTCCATCAATAGAGTTCGCGTACTAACGGTGTTGGCGTAATTTAGCCTTCTGAATATCTTGGCTGTCAAGGCCTACGGTGAAGCCGAATTTTGGCTTTCGGGCGGCAAAGTTATCCTGATCCTCATGCTCTTCAGTTTCACTTTCATCACAATGGTTGGCGGCAACCCTCAAGGAGATGCCTATGGATTCCGCTACTGGAAGAACCCAGGTGCTTTCTCGGATGTCAATGGTAATGGTCCTCTTGGTCGCTTCGAGGGCTTCCTCGGTGCCCTCTGGAGCGCCAGCTTTACTGTTGTCGGTCCCGAATACATCTCGATGGTCGCTGCCGAGGCTAAGCGACCTAGTGTCTACATCAAGGCTGCCTTCAAGACGGTTTACTACCGATTCTGCTTCTTCTTCATTATGGGCTCCCTCGCTGTCGGTATCGTCGTCCCCTACAACTATCCTCAGCTCGTCAAGATTTTCGTTACTGGCGAGGAGGGAAGCGGCACCGCTGCTGCGTCGCCCTATGTTATGGCTATGGACATCCTCAAGGTCGACGTGCTTCCCCACATCGTTAACGCGCTCCTCCTTACATCTATCTTCTCGGCAGGTAACACCTATACCTACTGTGCCACTCGATCGTTGTATGGCCTTGCTCTTGAGGGTCGCGCTCCCCGATTCCTGCGAAAGACAACCGCTTCCGGTGTTCCCATCTGGTGTTTCTGCGTCGTCATGCTGTTCCCTATGCTCTCATTCCTCCAGTGCAGCAGTGGTTCAGCTGAGGTTCTTAACTGGCTCATTGCCCTTATGACAGCCGGTGGTCTCATCAACTACCTTGTCATGGGACTCACCTTCCTCAACTACTACCGCGCCTGTAAGGCTCAGGGAATTGACCGAAGCAAGATGCCTTACTACGGCCGCTTCCAGCCTTGGTGCGCCATTATTGGCCTGGTCTTCCAGTTCTTGGTCGTCATGTGCTACGGCTACAAGTCATTCAAGCCTTGGGATGTCGAGAGCTTCTTCAAGAACTACACCATGCAAATCGTCGCCCCCTGTCTTTTCGTTTTCTGGAAGCTCTACAAGAAGACTCGCTGGCTTCGTCCCCATGAGGTCGATCTTACCTGGGAGCGTCCTATCATTGACGCTTACGAGAACTCCATCACAACCCCCCTACTGGCTTCTGGCAGGAGATGGGAATGCTCGTTGGCATCAAGCGCAAGGCGTATTCGGATGAGTAGAGTGTTTCAGTATTTACTTTATGCGGAAATGACTAAGAGGCGACTGCCGGTGCAATCTACGAGTTCATAGAACATGAGATTTGACTGTACATATTAAGTAGTTTACTGAAATTATACCCAAGGCATAGCTGTGTTTTTTTCTTTTTGGATTCATTCCTTGTCCCAATCTGAAGCCAGAGTGACCCGATGTGATGATGAATCCCAATCTCTGATGTGTGACGTGTAGTTGCGAGAACCATCCCTAACTTGGTAAGTTAGCTACGGAAAATAAGAGCCAGCAACTCTATTTGCCCCCAATCGCGGGAGCAAGTCTAGCCTAGAGTTACCTTACTCCAAAATTCATTAATATCTCGCCTATCTCTCTAGCCTTCAGAGTATCTACGTGATCGTGCCTCGACACTGGTGACGTAAAACCCAAACAGCTCAATGATACTGCGCCGCCGTGATATGTTCGATCTCGCGCATCAAGGTTGGCAATCTTTACAGGGAACGGCCAATAGATTTGAACTGCCGATCACGAGATCGGCAATACAAAGCAGCATCAAATGCGCCTCCCCTGTCTGCTCATTGATTCCTTAGCTCGTGGCTCAGAAGGCGGGGGAGCGCCCATGTAGATCGCGCACGAAGCCGATGCACAAAGGGGGCAAAGGTGACGGGGAAGGGGGAGGGGGAGTGAGGTTTGCCCAAACTCGGGAGTTTCTAGAAGGGGGTGTGAGAGAAGCGCACGTTGGAGTAGTTTGGTATGGGTGGGTGGTGATAAGCAGGGATGGGCATGATAAGGTTTTGGGGTTGATAAGTTAAGCAGGTGTCAGTGGCATAGATTCTTAAGTACTGATAGTGACGGACAAAGCACGGAGTATAAAGCCGTGAAACCGTATTGTCATTCCGGTGCTCAAGACCGTGTAGACGGAGTTGGATATCTGTTTTGGTGTTTGGCAAGGTTAATTAGGAGTTCTTGGTATGTAGGGATCGGTTTCTTTAAGCTATCTCCATTCGTCCGCGGAAGCGCCGTCCGCAAGTATACTACTAGGGTTGAATACATTCACCCTCGAGCCTTTGAATGGTGGGATATCGAGATGAAGTAGTTGAGGGTTGATTGGAGATGGACGTCCGGTCCGGGAGGTACGGCAGTAGTGGGTCTTCCGGCCCCGGGGAGTCGGGATGGCTTGACTGGGAGCTGAAAGTTTAATCGTATGTTGATAGAAATGACCAGAAAGAGCAGGAGATGGGACTATACTCATACGACAATTCATAACTCCCTAGGAGTGAAATGATGAATGTGAATGACGTGGAGGAGTACTTGAGTTTGGACCACATAGTGAACCTGGGGTTATTGGTATGGAGGACGAAGTGCATGATCCTAAGAGACTGGGCGTTGAAGTCTGAAGACGGAGTTTTGGCCACAAAGGTACCTAGTGATGTAAGTGCCCGTGCTTTGATAATGGACTCGAATAGGTACGGTGAGGTTCAGTACGCAAGGAATATTCTCATTATGAGCTTACCTAGCTTTTTGTCTCTATGAAATCCACATAACCACTACACACCACCTGCGTTTTTTGTCTGTTTATGATTTCGGTGCTGTATGCTACTTATCAAGTTGTGCTTATACTCACCTGTACAGGTTTGATAGTATATATGATAATGTGTTGTTGTCACATGGTTGCTGATATTGAAAACGTGTAACGTGGTGACTACGACAATATATACTCTGTGGCTTGGTGCTATAGAGACATACTTGGGTTGGGATGAGTTATCGTTGGACTCAAATTACGTTCCACACTGGAGCAATGCCTATAAGATACCTGGTCGAGTGCTTCAGACTATCGAAACAAGGCAAACGGTGGGTATCATCACTTGCACGTGTGGGTAGGGAACCTGAGTGAGAATACTGCTACATCTTGCATCAAATAGATTCGGTGAGATGGCCGAGTTGGTTATGGCGCCAGGTTAAGGTTAACCTTAACACCAATTTCCTGGTGGAGCAATCCTCCTGGGTTCGAGTCCCAGTCTCATCAGACATTTTCTTTTTTGCTTTTCTGGTCAATTTCTGTAACTGTTGCTGGACAGTTGTTGATTCATCTTTGTTGTTGTTGCATCAACTGGGAGAAATTGCCTACCCTATAAAGAAGCGAAACATTAATTTTCCACCAGATGATAGCATACCGATGTAAGGTCTGTCGCATATGCATACAATACAGTTGAAGGAGTCTCGAGAGGGTTAATGGTGTTGATGTCTAGTGGCAAGACACATACTCATTGATTTGCTTGATCTTTGCATTTACAATTTGGCTCAATCAGCGGAATGTCAATTTTGGGCACTCAACACAGTTCATTACAGCATTCACATTTATATCAAGACACAGAATGATCGTAATCAAGTCTATTTGGCTCTAACTAGTTGCCAACCTCCAACCCACCAAGTCGAGGGCTCAACACAGTTGGGATCCTCCAATCCCCCATGTTATTTCCTCGTTCCTCCATGGTGGTAGTCTAACAAAGCTTTCCGTCTATCGGGAAGCCAAAAGTGCAGTCATCCATTACCAAAGACGCACCCGTAACTTTTTTTGATCAACGCATGACAAAGGAAAATGGTATGTAGTCATCAAGAGAAGTCGTCACAAGACATGGTAGAGTAAACGTGTCGCGGGATATATGCGTTTACAAATCATCCTCGTCACTGAACACCTCCTCACCACGCTTTCGGCGGGCCATACGCTCCTTCTTCTTCTTTCGTGCCTCAGAAGAGCTCAGCTTGACCTTCTTCTTGGTGGTGACAATCTTGTTACCCATGGCGTCGAACTTCTCCTCCTCATCACCATCGTCAGCCTTGAGACGAGGACCAGAACCCTGGCCCTGCACCCAGTTGTGGCCGGAAGGAGTCATCTTGCCGTCCATGACAGCCCAGACTTCCTCAGTCAAGTCCTTGGTGAACTCGGCAGAGTGAGTAATGATGATGACACCACCCTCGAACTTCTTCAGGGCCTTGGACAGGGCACCGAGAGAGTCACGGTCGAGATAGTTGGTAGGCTCGTCAAGGACGATAAGATGAGGTCGCTGCCAAGAGCAAGCGGCGAGGACAGTCTTGACACGCTGGCCACCAGACAGACCACGCATGCGAGAGTGAGAAACAAGCTCAGCATCGAGACCGAAGTTGGCGCAGTGAGACTCAATCTCCTTTCGGACCAGAGGTCGGAACTGACCAGAGGCAAGAGCCTCCTTCATATCAACGTCGGCAACCATCTTCTGATGAGAAGCCAGAAGCTCGTTTCGGGGCAACCAGGCGTTGTCAGCAGACATCATGGGGGTCCATCGCTCGTTCTTCATGCCGACGTTCTCACCGAGAGCGAACGAACACTCATACTCGTAAGAGTTCTTGAACTTTCTTCGGCTGTTGATGCCGATGACACGACGCTGAGAGCCCTCAATACGGAAGATCTTGTCCATGGCCTTCTCATCGGCCTCGGTGATGACCTTGTTGGCACGATCCATGGTCTCACGATCCTCACCAGTCTGGAATCGCCACTGGATGTACTCGGAAGGAGTCTTGTCGAGATGGTTATCGATGTGAGCGAAAGCATGCTGCTTAATGTAGGCGATACGGATGTTCTCGTGCTGGTAGATCTCACCCTGGGTGGGGATGAGCTCACCAGTGAGAACGTTGATCAGGGTAGACTTGCCAGCACCGTTAGGACCGATGACGGCAATACGGGAACCCAGAGAGCACTGGAAGGAAATGTCCTGGATCTGAGGCTTGGAGGTACCAGGGTACTGGAAGGACATGTTGGTGGCACGGAGAATAGCCTTGGCCTTGGTCTTGACACCCTCGAGGAAACCGGGCTCAGGGAAGGTGAACTCCATCTCGGACTCACCAAGCTCGTAGTAAGACTTGGCAGAGGGGTTGCGGGCGACGAAGGCAGCCAGGTTACCCTTGTAGCGCTTGAGCTTGAAACGCTCGTAGTGGACGATGTGTTGGCAGACATTGTCGAGGAAACCAGAGTCGTGAGAGACGATGATGGAAGTGCAAGGAGAGTTGATAAGGTATTCCTCGAGCCACTTGACGTTCTTCACATCCAAATGGTTGGTAGGCTCGTCAAGAAGCAGGATATCAGGAGCCTCGAAGACGGCACGGCACAGAGCGAGCTTCATCTTCCAACCACCAGAGAGGGCGCTGATCTCACCCTTGACCATCTGCTCGGTGAAGCCGAACTCGTTGAGCTGCTTCTCGACATCAGCCTGGGTGGTGGTGACACCAGCCTCAGCAAGCTTCTTCATGGTCCAGTCGATAGTAGTCATCTCAGTATCGGCGGAGTCGAGGTCGTGCTCGACGAAGACAGTCTTGACCTCACTCTGCTTAGGGAAGCCCTCAACCTGCTCGTTGTTGATGGCGCGCATGAGGGTGGACTTTCCGGAACCGTTGGGACCACAAAGACCGTAACGCTGACCACGCTTGAGACGGAGATGGGTCTGGTTGAGAAGAATCTTGGCACCGTAGGCAAGAGAGAAGGTACAGTTGCAAAGATCCTCACCCTCCTCCTCATCCTCCTCGGCCTCGGCCTCGGCAACGGCACCGGGGAGAGCAGTCTTGCGGAGGGTCTCGACGATGGACTCAGAGTTGTCAATGCCAGCGATGACAGATACGTAGGCCTTGAGGTTGTCGACCCAGATCATGGACTCAGTCTCCTTCTCGTCGACGAGTTGACCGGCAATGGCAGCGATGTACTCAGCAACGGGGCCCATCTTCTCAACGTAGTTGGCGAACTTAGGGGAGAGAGCGGCCTTGACCTTGGGGAGGATGACATTGATGGCACCGTCGTGGCGGGCCTCGGGAATGACACCGTTCTTGATGTCACCGACACGGGTTAGGGTGTCGAGAGCCTGCTTGGTCTTGTCACGAGCCTCAGGGTCAGCCAAGTTCTCGTAGTTCTTCTGGAGACCTGGCATCATCTTGGGCAAGAAAGGAGCAACGATGTTGGGATCGTCGACGAGCTTGCACATGTTGTCAACGATGACAGCGGTCTTTCGCTTGATAGCGGTATCACGCTCAGCCAGACCACGATCCAGAAGGGGAACCATGAGGGCAAGAGTAGGCTCCTGAACCTCAGTGACAAAGGTGGTGGCACCGAGCAAGTGAATGGTCTCGGGAACGTTCTCAGGCTTGGCGATACACTTGATAAGCTCGGGAATGAAGCGCTCAATATCCTTGTTGACAATCAGCTGGCAAAGCTGCTCCATGGTCTTGTAGGCACGCTCCTTAACCTCCTTCTTAGTGTCCCACATGGACTCGGAGATGACGGGAATGAGTTCAGGGACACGGTAGGCAAGCTGGGCAGGAGAGCTTTTGACAAGAGCCTCGACGAAGTCGAGAGCAGCCATCTTCTCAGGCCACTTCTGGGCGGATCGGATAGACTCCATGACGGAAGGGAGAGCAGCCTTGACAGCGTTGGCGTTGATGCCGCCAGCGATGGCGAGAACGGCGCTCTGAGCAGCATTCTTGACAGCGGTGATCTTGTCGCCGACGGCGGCAAGGACACTGGGGAGGAGGACGACGAGGTAGGGCTCGACGGAAGCGGAGACCTCGGAGTGAGAAGCAATGGCCTCGATGGCGACGCAAGCCTTCTCACGGGCGGTGGCGTCCTTCTTGTTGGCGAGCTGCTTCTTCAGGCCCTCGATGACACTGTAGACAAAAATGGTTAGCACATGAAGGTCACCCCAAGAATTTTTTTTGTGGATGCTTCGCTGGAGGGGTCAACCAAAAAATGGGCCTAGCGTAGAATCGCACTTCGCCCAAATCTGGCGGGGTAAGATTGGGCGCCCAAACGATGGAGGGGCAAACGAGAGGAAGAAAAAGTTCTGCTACTCGTCTTGTCCGACGCAAGATACCGTCCAATCAAGCCGCTTCCCAGTTCCTCGTCTCACATGCATGGGACACATCAGCTCGGATGCTGACTGCACCAAAATGAGGCGAAAACCGAGGGCAACAGGATTGGCGAGTGTCTAGTGTAGACTAACCCCTAGCCTCGAGGCGCCCAGTAATATCCCATGGGAGAAGCCGAATTATGGCATCGCAAAAAGGGCTAAGACTTACTTATCAGGGACGACCTGGTCGCCGATGCGGCCGTTGATGAAAGAGGCCAGCTCGTTGGAAGACTCCTTGATATCAGCGGACTCCTTGGACACGGTGAGCTTCTGGAAAAGCTCGTCCAGGACCTTGATCGACTGCTGGTTCTCGGTAGGCATGATGTCGATATATAGGATTTTTCTTTTTTGAGGGGTATAAGAAAAGAGGTCGTCGAGGTTACAGAGATCGATGGAGGAGTCGACTCTGAATTATTCGGCGATGATGGGAAATTCCTCTTGAATGAGGGAGCGGTGTTCGTTCAATGGAGGTAAGTCCGAAGAACAAACTAGAACGCGAATAAAGAAAGTAAGAGAGGTTCGTCTGGAGGAGGACGACGACCGGAGATCGATGGAGGAGGAAGAAAGAGAATGGGAGTGAGAGGATGGAGGGAGGGAGATGGAGTGTTAAAAAGAAGAGAGGGGCCAATTTTTTATGCGCTCACAAATTTTTTCCAACATAGTTTGCCTCTGGGCACCAAAATTTTCAGAAAAACCACTGGGTTACCCCTCCTGCCCCTCCAATTTTCTAACTCGTCTGCGGCGGCGACTCAGCTTATCGGTTTTATCAGCGTGGGGGCTAAACCTAATATGGTAAGTGGATGAGGGCGGTGTAGAGTTTTTGTCTCGAAAAGTATTGGGAGGCATCTCCGACGCTACCTCTAGCGGGTTCTCTACGTATTTTGGTGCCCTGTATGAGCGAAGGAGGCAAATGTGTCAAGATGCACGAGATCCAGTTTATTATCTAAGACGATGGCTATAGCTATTGCCTGGAAGTATAGGTAATAAGTGTAATGTTGAGATTTGAGTTTGCTGAATATACCACTGTGGTTACAATATCGAGGACAGATCTACAGCAAAGCGTTGTTGGGCTTGTTTCTTGTTCCAATAGCGGATTTTGTCGGATCATCGTCGCTATCAAGGCTTCATTCACTACACTGCTCCAGTATTTTTGCCCACTTGAGCTATCCACTTCCCGCCGTCTCCCTGACGACCTAGAAGAAAATGAGCCTTTGGTTGTAGAAGTTCAAAGAATTAATTTAAATTGAGGTCTCTTCACAACAGCTTTAACTTACGCCGGGGGAAAACAGAATTCGCCAACAAAGTTCACGAGTAATGAGATAAATAGCCTACCAGTTGCGGAACGGCTCTTGTGAACTCTGGTGATTAGCCACGTATTTTAGCCAGACGTTCAAAGCATCAATACCCAAATTTTATTTTGCCCTCGTCACAGTATCACCGTGTATCTTGTTAAGCTCTGTGGCAAGTGACGAAAGAAATACTACAGCGCCTAATGTTTTTATTCCCGTATTCGTACTCCATACTTCAGCCTTGAAACCTAGGAAGCATCTTGACTCGCTCCTCTATTCGGTACACCCGTCGAACCGTTGGGCTGAGATCTCCTATCGAGTCAAGTTTCGGAACTCGCAAACTTGGTTATCCTATCCCAGAAAGTTCCGGAACGCTTTGGTTTCATGTCTCAAAGTATCACAAGCTCATAAAACTATTGGCTAGATTTCGGATCTTTCTTTTCTCAAATTGGATCGTAATAGTAATAGAGTATTGCCAGATAGAGCTTGCTACTTGAATGTTATTTGCGCAAGGGTTTATGCAGTGAAAGCAAGAGTAGCATGCATTCTTCATGCGGTCATCCCATAGTCTTGGTAAGTTGATGAAGAAAGACAGCTCGTCAAAGTGTATATCCATCGATCCATCCAAGTCCAAGACACATCTTTCTTATAGCATCTTACATATCCAACTTAGATGCCTCGGGGCTTAGTTTGAGCCAAAGGGACCGAGGCAGTCAACTCCGTATCTCCCCTTTGTGACGAGCATACAAACAACCACCAACTTCCACAACCGATAATTTCTAGCCATCGCTCCGTGTGACCTTTTCTCGTTGCAACAAAGCTTTCACCCAACAAACGACGGCCACGCCGGGTCCAAGTCGATATGTGCACCCTAGTCCCCTTCGGGTTTCTGCCCCTCGACCCTAGTTGATCATGGTTGGTGGGACCGGCTTTAAACACAAGATGCTGCCTTTCCCAGCCTTTCTCTCCGCCACGTTGCTACGGCACTTATTCTAGTGGTTGTTGCCCTTTCAGCCAAAGACACAAAGAAAAGGTACACACAGGGATGACTTATGTCCGAGGGGTTGCGAAACAAAGAAAGATACTCGGACAGTGCTCTCGATGAATGGGAACCACGAAGGTTTCACATCCAAGCTTCACCAAGTACACAGGATTGATATCGTGGGGCCCCAGAACCCCCGGATTATACCTCCACAACTCACCGACAGTTTGTAATGTTATCTCTCTTTACCTGCCCCGGAAAGTTTTTGCATTTCGAATAGGCCACTCATTGAAACAAGCACGACGTCTCGAAGGTAGACCAAATTCATAGAGAGCCGTCAAGACACCTTGATTAGTTCAGCCCAGGATATACAGCGTAATTTGTTCTCTTCTGCTCATGCTCCTTTGCCTGGTGTCAAGCTGGTGTATTGATCGCCTAAGGTTCTTTGCAGTATTAGCCAGAGGTGGCTTCGACAACCCATGTACTGTTCTTTGTTTGTCAATAACATCCCAGAAAGTGCCCTTGTATGGCTCAAAGATGGAGATTGTATAGCCTCATGGCTGATATAGCTTTGTTGTCCAAGTCTTGGCGTCTCAGATCCCACTTCGAATCAGTTTGTGAAAAATTGTCTTGACGTTCAGGGCTTTCTTTACATTGCGAATCATGTTCTCGGGGCCAATCTCTTTGTTCCGAATGAAGCCCTATTTTTGGAAAAGCCATTCTATCAAGCCTCATGACTCCCCATTAGTATATCTGCGTATGGTACCTCTTTTGAATGTGATGGCATACCGAATCTGACCTCCCCTTGAGTTTCTTTCTGCACTATATTTATCCTCTTATGTCCTTTTCCGTGACCGTTTCATTGTGCCTTGCGGCTGAATACTCCTTCATTTTCACTCCACCATGGCTTCTAGCCCAGGAAACGTAGCCCCAACCCCGGGTGGGAGTTTCGATCACATCCATTACTGCCCTGCCTGGACAGACCCGAACTGGCAGGATGAAGGCCCTGAACGGGATGCGAGCATCTTTGACATCAAAGACAGTGTGTTTGATCGTATACGCCCAGCTCTGCTGCCTCGAGACCGCTTCAAGAAACCAACCATTTACGCTCAACGATTTGGTATCTTTCCTGGTCGAACCGATGGCCGTTCGAGAACGTCGCCCACACGAGCTGAGAGTCGAGCTATCTTCCCTGCCAGTGCTGATATTCGAAATGGAAAGGAACTATTTGGACGTTTCGAAGATTTGGCCAAGGCAGAAAACGAGCACGTCGATGATTACATGGAGAGGACAAGGCCGGATATGCAAAATTTAGATGAAATTGAACAAAGATTCATGCAACAGTATGAAGATCTAGTCATAGATGAAAACTGGCAGAGCATCCTTTTCGGAAGCTTAACCATGGACGAAGTGAGTACATAGGCTCGCATGCCTTCTTTTTCTTTTCCTGGCTATGTCTAACAAACCCCAGTTACAGGCCGAGGGGTATTTTTCGATGTGCGATACCGAACTTAACGGCCTCAAGGGCCAGGTCTCAGAGTAGGTCGGATATATCATTTGTTTGAGCTGGCACTGACACATCCTTAAAGACTTTTCAAGCGTGAAAGATGGGTGGACACCAGTTGCTATGGTAAGACGGCTGAGGAGCCTCGTTTGATATATACCCTCAATGGGAACCGCGAAGAATGGAACGCAAGGGTATGTTTGGAACCAAGAACCAAAACATTATAATGCTAATAGTTGAAGACCAACGATCGAGTGTGGGATGCGATGCAGCCTTCCATCCAACTCGCCTCGCGGTTTCTCAGGATGGATGACACCTTTCTCGAGAGTCTCCTCGACATCACAAACAGACTGTGGGTCGACCGCAAACTATTTGAGCAACAGGACGGACAAGACCGAGACGATAAAATTAAATTCGTTCGAAACCTAGACCCAAATGATCAGTCTAGGCTCGACGGAGCGAAAGCTGTCAAAGACAGTGGTATAGACCCCAGAGAAGCCACTTGGCAGGCCCTGCTTCGAATATTCAAGATAGAACTAACCAGCGGCTTCTTGTCCGATGGGAAACAACAAAGAGACCACTGTGCAGGGATTACACAAACGTGGAACACATACCCGCCTGGAAGCAGCTTGATCGTCAGGATCGATTGTGAGTTGGTTTGGCCCTTGATCAATGATACGTACAGCAACAGCGAAAAGTTGAAGGCCAGCCTGATACTCGGAACTACGATAGCCCACGAGATGATGGTGAGCCACAGTCGTGATATCTATACATATCTATTTCCAGCTAATAGTATGACAGCATTCGTTTTCCAGTGCTCCTGTCAAGTGGTTAACCGATCCGGCCTCGATTGGGATAGCTCGACCTGAACAAGTCTTGGCCTGCAAGCAGCTCTTGCGTTCATTGCGTGATTTTGAACACAGAGATCTCCATGATGAGCCTTATTTTGAGGATGACGCCTACTCCGAGGTTGGCCATGCCTTTGAAACACATGTAAGTGCAAACACCATGTCGTAGATCCCCGAAACGGCGTTGATTAACGATATTGTTCGATAGGTCATGGGAGGTGGCTATTGGTCGTTTGCAACGGATATGTGTAGGCAGAGGCCTGCGCTACTCCAGACGGCGGCTGGCCTCGTAGCTTTCAGTGAACATTCCGATAGTCTCGCTAATGTCCCCCCTGTGCTGCAGTACCCCTTAACGCGAAATATCAAGATCTCCCACTATATTCGAACAGAAGATGTCAAGAAATACTTTACACAACCTTTCTGGGACGTTGCGATGCAGAAATATGGCACGGCCGCTCTAAGAGAACCATCTAAAAAGCCTCATAAAATCACATACTACCCCGCGGATGATGGTTATGACACTTACGATTTTGGCGACATCCCTCTAGGCATTTTGGACGACAAGGACTGGTTAGAAGACTTCATGAAAGGGCTCGGCGGTAGAGGAAATATTGTGCTGAAGAGCTATCTGAACAACCTGATCAACGAAGCATGCGACTTTGATTTTATGAATGCGCAATTCAACACTGACATTGAGGCCTGGGGCCATCGAGACGCAATCTGGCGCCAGCTCAGTAGAGAAATTCTCATGATAATCTGTGAGGTTTCAGCGCACACATATCAAGCATCTCAAGGGCAGGCCCAAGATAACGTTCTGGTTTTTCTTCATAACTGCTGGATGGCCACAAGCTACCAACTACTAGGATATCCCGACCCCCATTCCGCTTCCCTTGCCACCTTGGCTTCTGACCCAGAGGAGTGGGCTCGATATATTCGATTCAGCGGCCTCGAGGTTTACGAGAAGCGTTTGGTACCTAGACTCATAGACTTCACACGCCGTTTAGAAAAGGAGATTATGCATATCGAAAGTATGGTATGTGAATTATATCAATTAGGAACCACAAATTGGCCGCTCTACGAGCGTTTTGGTAAAGCCCATGCTGTGGACTTTCGCGACCGAGTTGATAGGATGCTTGAAACCATCACCGACTTGTTGACTCCCGTTGGAATTGTGGATCGGGGAATCAAAAGCATTGATGCAGAGTGGTTCAATCGATTATGGACCCTAGGCCAAAGAGTCAAGGACATTCGACAGCTCTTGGATCTGGACAGTAATGCATACGAGCACAATTGGCGCGACCTCTTGTTAACGATGCCTATGGCACGCAAGTCGAACCGCAAGCCCCATCAGAGATTCTACTTTTTGGCAAAAAGGGAGATGATGAAACTGACTGGAAGCCAACTGGAAAAGATGAAGGAGTTCAAAAAGCGCTTCCAGAAACTACTCAGCCTTGGCGGTTACAAAGTAGTCATCCCGGGAGAGGACCCCGACGTGCTGAGCATTGCTCAGCGATTGTCCGGGACACTCGATGATGACCGAGGCAACAATGACCACGAGAAAGTCATCAAAGGACCATCTACAGGCATATTCAACGTTGAAGCCGTGAAGAATCTGGCTCATCAGCTGTTAAGGGAAGAGAACGATGCACAGAACGACATGCTCAATCGCATCACGAGTCGCTTGAACAACAAGGCCCCAACCTTACAGGAAGCAGCAGCAGAACAAGCTGGCATGGTACCTCCGATACTACCCAAATTCCAGCAGCTGGGCTTCGAAAACCAGGCAGTGCCGTTGACTAACGTGCATGAGTTCAAAGCGGACAATGCTCCGTTCTCCGCGTTCTCCTCGGGAACTAGCTCCCCCTTCCCTCAACACCAACCCAATCAGCCACCTGCATGGGTAGCAAACAGTACAGAAGATCTGGCTACTTGGGTTAACAATCGACTTGCCGGTGGACCACAAGTCGCCCATGGTATCACGCCTCACCCGTATGCACTTCGTGAGAACCTCACGGTAGATCTTCAAAACATGGCTCAAGCCTCACTCCCCATGCGAAACCCTGCCTCCTTCGCCAACGAGTATCCTCGGGAAGTGGTACAAGACCACAACTCTGCTTTCGTGGTTGGTCCTCTTGGAGATATTGCCCAGGCTTGGGAGCAACAGTTTCAAATTGGGCAGAGCCCGCCCCCTGCAGCAACTGGGAGCATATCTGTGGTCCAATCTCCTCTTGCACCAACTCGCAGAGACAGCCGGGATATTGACATGACTGACGTCTTAAGCCAAGGACGTCGGGCCACAGTTTTGTCGCACTTTGATCACAGCAGCAGTGAGACGGACGTATCAGACGACGAAGCGCAACGGTCGAGAGAGAGCAGCAGTAGCGGAACAACACTCGTTGGGTTTTCGAATGCTGAGGAGGAGTTGCTTAGCAAGATAGCATCATTCGAAAGGTCTGAGGCGAGAGAAAGGGGTTATGATTTGAAGCGAAGGTCAAGCTGGGCACCTCTTTATTCCAAGAAGAAGAAGAAGAAGAAGAAGAGGGAAACTCCTAAGGCCAAGAGACGTGTTTCCAAGTCGAAGCCTAAGAAGACCAGAGTGCTCAGAACCTAGGGAAAAGGGAACGAACGAAGACGGGGCAATGTCATCTTGCGCGTTCAATAGCTTAGTATCTAGGTTTGACTTGAGTCGAGACCTTAACAAGGGTTAGTTGGGGGAAGATATGATGTCGGGTTTAAATGATGCTGGCTGTGTTTTTAAGTATTCGGAATTCATGTTTTACTATTATCTCAATATTTCTTCATTGATTCTTGACTCTCAAAACACCAACATTGAAGACCGAGGAATGTGTCTTGAAGTGCGGGATCGCAACTTTGGTCACAGGACTTTTCAGCCTGGAAGTGCGCTTTACCAACCAGCAGCCTGGAAGACTTGGAACATTCCAGGTTGTGATTTTAGATTTCTTTGTGCTGGAGGTAGTTTAGTCGTCAATCGAAGACTAATCCCTAGCGTGTAGGTAGGCGAGATCGAGGCTTATTCGATCGTAATTTAGAAGCCTTGGAAGATGATAGCCCCTTGGGGTGTCAAAAAGCTTGGGGCACTTGAAGCAGGGGGCGAAAATAATTCGTCAAAGAGCTTCCAATGTGCTTGTCAATTTATCCTAGCATTATCTGAATGCTTTTGTCATGTACAACAAGTTTTCTGCTATCCCCTGTAGACTTAGCCCCGGCCCACTGCGGATGGTGGGTGTTGCCCCTCCATTCAAGGACCCAAGCTTCCAGAACATGCCCCACTTGTAGGGCAATCAACTGGCATGGAGCTCCTATCTCCAGGTCATTACTTCTCATGGTCGCGTTCTCGAGTTGTAAGAACAAAGAAAAGAAAGAAGCGCCATTTCGCCATCTGAATCCGTGCGCTTTCGCTTGCCCTACCATCTCATCTTCTCGATCCTGAACCATCAACCACTGGTCTTTGTTGTTCCCAAGGAACAGATACCTGATACTTTACAGAGTAGGTAGGTACTCAGAGGCATATTCGATTGCATCATAGCACACCCAAAGCAGAACGCGATAAGGCTCCAGATATCACTTGCGGCGAAAAAGAAGACGGTCACCAGATCTTGCCTTTCCAGGTTCATGAAAATACCTCTCGTTTCCTTCAAATTTCGTTCTGGCCACATCTGCAGTCCCTCGAGACTGTCATCAACCCCACCACAACTCTTCTTCGTATATGCTTGCCAAAAGATTCATCACAATGGCTGCCACCAGAGGCCTCAGCGAGATTCCAACCCTCACCCAACTCTATCGCGACCCTGAGTCTGCCCTTTCCGAGGCCCATCTCTCATCAAGAAGCGACCCTGACTATCCCGCCTCTGATTCCATCAACAAGCGCATCGGCTTGATTCGCGGCGATATCACCAAGCTTCGCCTTGATGCCATTGTCAACGCCGCAAACAGATCGCTACTAGGCGGAGGGGGCGTTGATGGAGCCATTCACAGAGCCGCTGGTCCTGATCTGGTTAAGGAGTGTAAGACCCTCGGCCCCATTAACACTGGCGAGGCTGTCATCACAAAGGGTTACAACCTCCCTTCCAAGCATGTCATTCACACCGTCGGACCTGTGTACGCTGCAGACGCGAGCCCCAACGAGAGTCTTGCCAATTGCTACCGCGAAAGCTTGAAGCTTGCTGTCAAGAACGGCGTGACCACGATCGGTTTCAGCGCCATCAGCACAGGCGTTTACGGGTTTCCCAACCTTCCTGCCGCTAAGATCGCCTGCAGGACTGTGAGAGAATTCCTTGAAAGCGAAGAGGGTAGCAAGCTCACCAGAGTGGTATTTGTCACATTTGTTGCTCCTGATGTGAATGCGTACAACGAGACGATCCCGTAAGTTTGTTATGCCTGATGCTTCATCCACATACTTATGGTTTCTTTTTAGACGAATGTTTCCCCCCACTAAAGACGGATCTGCTTAGAAAAGACCATTTGCAAGATTCTGCGAAGAATTAGAATGATCTTGATGGGATTTTTGATGTTTAAGAGGAATACCGAGAAATATGTTTCTCTTAATTCCATGCCAAACTCAACCTAAGCAAAGGGACACTTACACCTATTACGGTACACCTTGCGGCCCCCATTTTAGTATCAAGAATACTTGGCTTGGCTCGTGGTCTTCCAGGTAATAAGCATGAGAGGCTAGCCTGCATTGGCGTTTACGAACGGATACATAGCTTTCTAGGGGCCGTTTCAAACAGCACATTCAATAGAACTTCTCCAGACATTGCATCCTCTTCGAGGGAAACGCAACGATAGACGCGATATTAGCCTTTAATGGAAATATTTATGCTGAAACTTCCATATTATTATATGAGTGCTATTATAAATTGCCAAAGCAGAATATACTCTGCCATCAATCTTAAAATATGTTAGGAAATTATGAATATCTCCATAAATATATTAAACTAAATACAAGCTATGTAATGATAGGTTGAACACTTACACCCGGTCTTATTTCTCACCCTATCCTCGGGAACCAAAGAATTTGCCCTCTTACATATCTTCGGTATGTTGAGCATGATTTCAATAACAGAATGCGCGGATTTTTACCAATACTTGATCAATCATATAAACTACTGGATGCACAGGTCTTCAAAGCCGAACAAGAGTCAAAGCAAACACCCTTCCGCCAACAATGCCCTATCGACATACTGCAAATCATCTTAACCACTGTGTGACCCCGACCCCTAGTTACTAGGTCCACCTGAGCCCTTCTTCTTGTTCTTCTTCTTATTCTTCTTGCCCTGCTTTTGATCGCCAGAAGGCCCCTCTCCCTCTGGGGTATCCGAGGTGTCTGGCGCATCCTGGGTCTCAGATGTCTCTTGGGTATCGTCATCTTCAATCGCTGGCGCCTTTCCGCTCTTTGAGCCCGTTATAGTCTCATCATCACTTCCTTTGCTGTTTGTGAGTTGAGAAAGCATCGCCTTGAGTTCTTCCATCTCAGCTCGCAGCTTGCGGACTTCAATAACAGCAGGCTCGTCTTCCACGTTAGGTTTGACAGCCTCGCAAGTCTTGGCCCAGCCTTCAGCTTCCATGTCCAGGTCCTCGTAAAATTGTTCCCACTCATTAACCTGGTCGTCGTCCTCCTCGCCTCGTGAGCGATTGTGTCGAATCTTTCGTGCGGAGCGCCTCTCGAAAATCGCTGCAACAAAGAGAAGGGGGGAGTACAGAGTAGCCATGACGCAGTCATTGATGAACTCGTATGTGGACTTTGGTATCCACCACTCCAGTAGTCCCGAAATGACAATTTCGACGAGGTTGAAAGGAGCAATATAAACATTCTCATCAGGAGCTCGAACGAACTGCATCGTCTTTTGCGCAAACAGTGCGAGGTATTCATCATCGGCGTTCTCGTAGATATCCTCATACGCCGAGTTGTAAAGCGCAATGAGGATATTGAGGAGAATAATCTAGGATGTTATGTTAACTTGACTCTCGACGACTGAGCATCATTGACTTACCATGACAACAAAAGTAAAGCAGTAGTAGAGAATCAAGCCGAATGGATGTCCGAAGTCATCGAAACCATCAAACTCGGGACTCTGCATGATAGCCTTGAGCATTGACTCGATAATGAACCAGGTGTCTCCCATGATGTTATCATCAGCAATATCCAGACCGATGAAAGCCTGGAGGAAGCCAATAATGACAACAATAAGCAATGCAAAGAAGATGAGTGATTCTTTCATCATAACTTTCAGCACAACTAGCATGGCTCCAAAGAAACGGAAGCTGTCGAAATAGAGCAAGAGACGGGACCAAAACATGGGCGCAACAAAAGAAAGCAGATTGTAGCTGAGCTCGTTGTACTTCCTATGCACATCATCGTTGTCCCTATATGCCAGCCCTATGATGCGCAGAACCAATGACACAGTCAAGAAGGTGTAAAGGACGAAGTTAAAAACATTCCAGAATCCCAAGATGTGGTAACCAGCCTTGTAGTATTTGAGGCATTCGTCGCAGACATAGGCAAAGGTGAAGATGTAGAGCGCGATCTCAGCACCATCGAGCACTCCTGATGCATTGGCAGAGTTGACTGCGGCGGTGTACAGAGCAAGATAGATGATGGAAAATAGCAACTGGGCGGCATTCTGATAGCGAGGTGCGCGCATACGATCGGGGTCCATGTGGACAAGTAAGCTGGTGTTTGCTTTGTTCTTGTAGTCAACAAACTCGGAGGGATCGTCTTCGTCCTGGACTAGCCAGCCACGCCAGAGATATGCAATGCATTTCTGATAACCAGAAGAGCCAATGACCCGGACTGCGTGCAGGTCGACGGCCTTCTCAATGACATTGGTTGGGGCTGTAGGAACCTGGTCAATGAGAAAGGAGTACCGACGAAGAAGAACGTGGTGGAGGAGGTAATCGGGGTCCTCCTCTCCCTCGATACTGGTTCGAATTAGCCAACTGCAATTGACAACCAAGGCATGATTTCAAACTTACATCTGTTTGGCGATGACAGTGCAGGCGACAGCGCGCAAATCATGGAGATCAGCATCCCACAACTCGAGAATGGCTTCGCGTTTGAACCATCGCATATTAACTAGCAGGGCATAAACCTACGAAACGCAACGTCAGTACAACGTGCCGAGCATCAAGGAAGTGTGCTTGACGTACAACACAGGAACGGTATTTCTGGCCACCAGCTTCCTTAGCCGCTTGTATAACCTTGTTGGTAATGACGGTGCTATGGGATCGCGTGATAGCACTTTCCTCAAGCTCGCAAGGAACGCATTCACGGATCAAATGTCGCAATCGCAGGCAAACCTTCATGACCTCAGTCGGGGGAGTAGCAGATGCGATGTTCTGGTTCCGATGGCTAGGCAGAACTATAGTATGTGAGCGAATAGCCAGATTTCGTATCGATGGGATAACATACGGGCTCTTTCCTCCTCATGGAGCCATTCGCGTCGGCTGGTGGTTCCATCGCTAAAGAGACCCTTGAAGCGGTTCCAGGTGCTGGGCATGGTGAAAGCTGTGAGCTTGTATCTCGGAGTATGTTTTGAATGCGAAAAGCGACGCTGGTATACCGAGAGGGCTAACGAAGAGGCGAGTTGAGAGCTTTGACGCCGAAGGGTTCCGGAGAAGAAGTGATGTCGCGTCTGGTCTTGCAATCTGCCGGCCTCCAAAACAAAGACGCAAATGCTGTGTCGCAATGGATCAAACTAAATTTGGATCCGGAAGCGATGCTGTCTCAGGAGGATCTTTGTACAGCAGCAATTGACGGCTGATTGCAGCTTGCAGGAGTTCAGCGTAGACAACCCCCTCAAAGTGAGACGGAAGAGAGAGAATCACAGGTTCACCAAGGTACCTAGTCCAGTTCATTCCAAGTTCTTTCCCGCAAACCTAACCTTCAAGGTTTATCCAGCCCAAACCTGGTATAGCTGAGAGAAGAGCTATCTTTGCGACTGCGATGACGTCGTGAAGGCTGGTAATTGGCCCACTAACACACACTGACGCTGCGGACGTCCGTGCTTCCCATGCTCGCAGCTCGCTTTGTTCCATCATAGCTTATTTTCGCGGGGCATCCCTCTAAGATCTAATGGATGGATAGAATCATGATCATTAAGAAGGCTAGGTAAGCAATGATCTTTCAGCTCAAGAGGAGTCCTGGCTTGATTTGGCAACAACATGGGTATAAGCAATCTCTTTCTGCACTCAATGAAACAAAATCACACAGTTTAGCAATGCCACCCATTCTGATTTATGGGCTTGTCCATAGTGGCTGATTTCCAGTATGTAAACTAGGAGGGGTTGTGGTTCGCGAGCAGGTTTTTTCTTGGCTCGTTCAGGGAAACATGGCATGGCCAATGCTAAATCAATGATCCAATCCCTGATGAAAACCCATTGTTTTGTGGGAATATTTTCAGAGGAGCCTTTTATTTTTGTTCAAGTTGTTGTTTGTGTATGAAAAGCTACAAGCTCACAACTCTATGCCTTTAATATGGAAGCAATCGTCAAATGTTGGGCTATGGTCGTTTCTCACGTAACGGTTTTATTGTTTTTTTACCTTAAAGTCCCTCGTACTCACTTTGTTCCATATGCTCAAGTTTGATCTCTCTCTACTGACATGTCCTATGTAGCGCCAGAACGTCGTGCCAATAATATGAATAGCATGATCTTGTACATCACATCAACAACTTTGGACTCACTGATACATACTTCACACCGAATTTGTGGCCTCGATAGTATGCAGCCTCAGATTCTCGTCCTGCCAGTCCGATGAAGTAACACTGCGGATGGCGTTTGTCGGCTGCTTCCTGTTGTGGTCGCCGTCGAGACAATGGATGGCCAACACATTGAATCCTTGGTGGTAAGAAGACTTCGAAGCGTCTATTGGCTGCAGAGCAAGGTTGAAAATGGATGTATACCAACAAACACAAGCACCACATGTGGATTGCTGCAGTAAAAAGTTCATCTTGCGGTCTTTATTCTGTCATTTATCGTATTTGGGATCTCAGCATTGCACCGATACGAGGGATGTTGATCGATGAAACGTCTTACCGCTCGTGTCGCACTGCATTTTGTTTTCACGGGCTGTTGGCATCTGATACTCTGCCGGCTCAACATTGGGGTCCTGTACTTCAACACTAAACCTCAGGAAGCTCTTTTGGCCGGCAAGCTCGGTGTAATCCCCCACACTGCAGGCATAATTCGAGTAAGTCTGGGTTCCTACACAGTCAGAGATTCGTGACCAAATTCAGTTCGATTGTTGGACTCTGGATGCCTATTAGGCAAAGAAAGGCGAGGCGGTTCTGCCTATGAACAAGGCGTGTATTCACGATTAGAAGCTATTGGGTCAAAAGTGGGAGCGATGACTTAAAATCTGCAGCAGATAAGTTGGCAAGATTGCGCCAAGGAGATTCTACACTTTGAGAGTGTTTGTTCGGACGCCGTTGGCCTGCAGTGCGACCCTGAATTTACAGACATTAAAATTGAGGCTGACGACGTTGACGATCAACTCAATGGACCTAGGTGGGTGGGTAGGCGTAGGCCTCAGACCCACCACAGAATTTTAGCGCCTTTGGGGGACGGGAACACTAGGGTAGTGAGGTGGAGGATCACCTCGAGCTGTAAACGATGAGAACTTCAAACGACGACGAAAGAGTACTTAGGTAGGTAGCTACTGGCCTTCACTACCTTGGAATGTTACAATACTGCGACCTGAGTAAGACAGGAGGTCCTACTGTCCTTTGGTACTCACATGAGTGGAAAAGATCAACAATAGGTACATTGGCTGCCTGGTACCTCCTATGTATCCTAGTGGACAGTCATATTCATTGTCATCTGCAGCCTCAGTCAGGGATGTAGACTAACATGTGGTGGAATGCTTTTTGTTGAACCACACTTATCCAATCAATTTGCAAAGAACAGACTGATCCTATGCATGTTGTATTTGCGGCTGTTGCGTACAGCTTTGGTGCCTGCCTTGGCTCTTTTTCTACTACCTATCTTAGTGCAGGTTGGTAGTCAAAGATGCAGTTGGCTCCTTGATTTCTGCATCTGCCTGATCACTGGCACTGTCACTGACAACGGGTGCCGCCTCCTGTTACCTATTCACTGCCTCACGCCTTCGCTTGCAGCCTGGGCTTGTGCGCGCACCTTTTCTTCCTTCTTCCTCTCTCCTGTTTCTACTTTTAAGCATCACCTTCTCTCTCTCTCATCTCGTTGATGTCTTTTGCCTCATCATCCATACAGGAACCCAATAACAGTTAAATATCTGCCCATTTATTGGCACTGAGGACATTCAGCCGAACCTCCTCAAATAAGAGTCTATTACCAACACTCTTTTCTGTATTTTATGGTGAAATCTTTCGAAGCCACCCCATTTACTAATCAGCGGAGCGAACAAGCATCATCTCAACTCAACGAGTTGCTTACGAGTTCCTATCGTCAGCTTCAGACCTGGGCGGAATCATCGTTTGCCCTTGGCATACGCCTTTAACGTAACTCTACAGCTATATTCCCTCAAAACGGTCCACTCCGTGGGTTTACATAAGCCTTGAAACATTGGCGTTTGCTATCCAGCCAGCACTTTCTCGATTTGATAGACAGCAGCAGGATACTTGTGTCATAGTCCAACTCCAATATCAAGATGGAGGAGACAGATTCGATCACTCCTTCGGATCGTCAAAGTGGCCGAAAGCCTAACAAAAAGTCTACCCAACAGGAGACAGATGCTACGATGGCTAATGAGGTTGACCCAACTGTCCCGGCTGCGGCTCCTCCTCCAGAATCGGCGGAGAGAACTTCTAAGAGTGGTTCTTGTTCGAGGAAGAGCAGACAGCAGAAGAAAGAAAGGAGTCAAGAAGCCAAGCCGGCTTCGGTGAAGGACGAAGCTGAGACTTCTGGCATTTCCAGTGGGGACGAATCTACTTCAGATGATGACCAAGCCTCAGAAACCACGGCACTGGCTCCCAAAAATCATGCGGGAGTAAATGGCACAAGCAAGAACAAGGAACGAACCAACGGTACCGTTTCTAAAAAGAAGACTAGCAAGGCTTCCACGAAGAAGCAGAAGAAACCCAAGAAGAAAAAGAACAAGACGTGCAGTTTTTCTGACACTGCGTCCGATTCGGACACCGATTCCGCTTCCTCTGATTCTGAGTCCTCCGATAATGAGGATCCTGATACTGGAAAAAAACGAACCAAGTCCTCTTCAGGTCTCAAGGGTCAACTGAGAGCGCTCGAACTCCAGTTTGCTCAACTTCAGCATCAACTGGGCAACTCCAATGGTCTGCCTCCACCAGTTAACCCAAGCGCTTTTGCCTCGTTTGGATCATCAACTCCGTCGTATTCTCTCCAATATCCTTCGAATGCTCTGGCTTCACAAGCAGCTGGTCTCGATCCGACACTTTTCGCTCGTCGCCGGTCCATTGCTGCCCGCCCTAATCGTGGCAGACGTCGACCTGGGCTACTTTCGAGAGTGCCAGACCTCCAAATTAGTGATCCAGATAATATCACCAATGATTATTTGCCTGGTGAGTTGAGGGTTAAGGGCAAGAAGCCCAAGAGTCCTGCCTTCAAACGCGTGGATCAGGTGTGGGATAACAGCATACACAATTTCAAACTTCAGGATACGGCCGATACAGACACCGACTCCCAGTACGACGAATATATCTTTCATGTTAGGAGGAAGTTCGACTGGGAGGGGAAGCATACAGCAACTATTGTCGATATAAAGAGCAAATTGCTTCGGGAATGTTTGCAGGATGTTATCGGCAATGCGGAAGGCATCAGTCTGGTAGACGAGACACCAAAAATGAACCCCGAGATCCTTTTCTTGTGAGTATCCTAACATTGTTATCTGTCAGGAGGTTGGTGATGAGGTTGAAGAGAGATGAATGAGTTCGTGGATTATATTGTGATATTTTGCTGATTTTTCTGTCAGGTATCTGGAAGACCTCCGTGACCATTTGAAGGCACTGCGCAAAGCCAAGCCTGCCGGCAAGTCTAAGAAGAGTCGGAAGAAGAACAAGGACCTTCTCAAGGAAAAGAAACAGCATCTCAAGGTACTTATCAAGTATCTTGACCATGACTTCGAAAGCACAAAGGAAAGTCTCTACCCCATGCTTAAGAATGGTCTCATCACATTCGAGCTGCTCTGGGCTTTGTGGAAACCGGATACACTGGCCTATACCACAACCTACGGAAATGCGAGCGAGCCACGAGTTTTCAAAGTTGAATCAGCACACCTTCATCACAGCGTTATGAGAGGCAGTTATTATCATGTTGAGGGGAAATACCTAGAATTTGACGGTAAACGCTTTGGTTACGGCAATACATCAGTCGAGATAGACGGGTTCCAGGGCGCCAAGAAGATCAAGAGTCTTCCTTGTTATCCGCTTCAGTACCACCATAACGAGCAGAAACTCCGACATGACTTGATCGAGCGAGGCAAGAAGTTTGCGTTACTGAGTGGTGTTCATTACAAGAGCTACAAGGGCATTGCCTTCATGAAGCGTAGGAACGGCTCGGTGATGAAGTTCAACATTCAGTCCAGCAGAGTCATGATCGACCCGACTATCTTTCGAAGGATCAACCCCAACTACAATGTCTCAACTGTCAAGCCCAAGGATCCCGATATAATCGAGGAAGAGACTTCGGAATCGGACTCTGGGAACTGTGAGTGTTGCTCAGATTCGGAGGACGGAGAGAAGATCAAGTTTGTGAAGAAGGTCTACAAGGACGAGAACGGTGAAGTACATATGGTGAGATTCCCTAAGAGCCTGATGAAAGACGAGCCCGAGAACGCCGAACTCGATGAGCTCCCCTCCAAAAATGTGGAAGGCGATGATGACGAGGAGGTGGGCATTGTCGATTTCACGGATGAGGACTATCTCATTGCCTCTCCAGTGGTACTTGGGTTCTCGTTTTCCGAAAAGCAATGGTTGGAGTTCGCCGTTTCCTGCGTCAATGACATACAATGGAACGAGAAGGCCTGGGACTCCCTGGTTCTGGAAGATGGCACCAAGGACTTGATCAAGGCCCTTGTGAAGTCACGCAAATACCATGCGGCTAACACCATCGATGATGTTATCCAGGGCAAGGGAAAGGGGCTTGTCAGTAAGTTAAACATATTCAAAATTCCGAGGTGCAGAAAAATAACATTTTGACAGCCGTCCTACACGGACCTCCTGGAACTGGAAAGACACTCACAGCTGAAGGAATCGGAGAATTGCTTCAATGCCCACTTTATATGGCATCGGCTGGTGAGTTAGGAACCGACTCGAGGTTTCTTGAGGCAGAGTTACAAAAGATACTGGACATTTGCCATGCTTGGGGTGCTATACTCCTGTTGGATGAAGCAGATGTGTTTCTGGAGAAGCGCAACATGCACGACATCCATCGCAATGCTCTTGTGAGTATATTTCTCCGTCAGTTGGAGTATTTCCAAGGAATTTTATTTCTCACTACAAACCGAGTAGAGGTGAGTATCTGGAATCCGTTGGCTTTGAATGGCTACTAACACAGGAGTGGTTCAGACATTCGATGAAGCCTTCCAGTCCCGAATTCACATCGCCCTGCGATATGACAATCTCAAGTCCCCTGCGAAGCGGGCTATCTTTAAGATGTTCCTCGACCGTGTTCATAAGCTGGGCAAGCTCAAGGTAGAGCCGTTGACAGAGGACGACCTGGACTTACTGTCGAAGCAAGCTCTGAATGGACGTGAAATCAAGAACGTGGTGGGCTCGGCTCAGGATCTCGCCGTTAACAAGGGTGAGGCTCTTAGCATGCGCCACATCAGACAGGTTCTCGACGTCCATGCCAAATTTGGGCGGGATTTGAAAGGAGGATCTGGTTATGAGGATGCTATGAGAAGCTACTTCTAATCTTGGATTGGGGATGGTGTCGGTAACTGGTCAGCGGTGATATGACGGCAGAGAAGGCTTGTCGTATGCTGAGCGTCTGAGATTGAAATTAGTTGGTAGTCATGTCTGATAGTCTTAGCTACAGCGTTGTTGAGTTATGCATACATAGTCTTCTGAGATGAACCATGTCGTACCTGAAAGCGCCATGCCTGCCTCCTGAGGAACAATTCATAACTAGGGCTGTATACTTGCTTCGTGAAGACAAATGCAATGAGGCTGCTTTCATAGGGACAGCACTCCTTCTGCATTATTCTCATCAAAATTTCCTTGGGGACATATCTCTTCAGCACTTGAAGCACTCGCTGACCTAAGTACACTCACAGGATATTCTGGAAGTACAACTATAGAAGGATTGTGATGTAGTCTTCAAGCCTGCCTCACCCGACTCATGTACCAACCCACCTTCTTCAGTCATGGACTGTACTGTCTTGTCTCACTGTTAGTTTGATCTCGCATCCGCAGCCTTTCCCGGTCCAGCTTCACTTTGCGAAAATTACTGACGAACGCATGGAGTAGACAGAGATTAGGGGCGGGATCTTTACTGACGATCCCTGGATCATGGCCGAAGATCAAACTCAATTCAGCTACCCCTTTTCAACACGCCGTAGGATTGAATGCGGTGATAGTCGTTAGTATTTGACGTGAGCGTTTACTCAATCTCGCTCGTAAAGGGCCCTAAAAGGTTATCTTCATGGCGCTCTTGGGTTTCAGCATGTACCCATCTTTAGATCAACATGGCCTGAATAAGAGTGAGTACCAGAAATAGCAACTTGGAAGCGGAGATTCTCCACATGTGACTATAGCTACCCAAGCACATAATAGTTATCACCAGGTTTCGGTCGGGAAGGGTTCAGATGAGACGTATGATGCTGACTTGGCAATTAATAGCTCATGGCGGACACTTTTCCTTGTTTCTAGAACCAGTGACGGTGCCCTGTTGCTGAGAAATGAGAAATGAGACATGAGACAGACACAGCCAAAAACCACGGGTAGAGTCAAAGATGCTGGTTGATATGTGGGCGCGTTACAGAGGATAACCAAAAGCATCTCAAAGCATAAATGTTATGTGACTAACAATTTACGATGCTGGTTCAAGGGCAACATTCCAGGGAAATAATGTCAGTTGATGGTTCCCTCCTTGTCTGCTCGGAAGGAGGATTATTAAAGTATTCATGGGTAATATTCTCGATCCAGTTCTTAAACCCGGCCAGGACCCCTTGAACCCTGCTCGTACTAGGGTTGCAGGTAAGCCTCGTATAAGATTCACTTTCCTTAATGGGCAGTGAGGAGCTGGAGAGGGCGTTGTGAGCCACTGGAGTAGGCTTTGAAGGCCTGACATAAATAAGAATATTTTGTTTCAAGTTTTGAAAGACGTCTTTGTAGAAAGCCATTCCTTTGTCTCTTAGTGAAAGACCATGCATACCATCAGACAATGCAACCATGGCCCGATCGTAGCAGGTCGATCTGCCGTATTTGACCGCCTACCGAATCGAGCATGTCTCAGCTCAAGCCTTCCCTTGTCGAGTCAGCAAAAAAGGGAAGAAGGCCTCTTCTCCGACGTGAGTGGCTGGACAGTCTCATTTCCACTGCCCCTAGAGACCATGCGCATGCTGTCGACGGCGCCTCTGGCCGGCATCATTCCAATGAGGGAAGCGAAAGTGTTTAATTTGATTTGATCATGTCAACCTTCTTTGTTTACTGTTTGGAAAGGAGGCGCTTGCGTCGTCTGGGGCAGACCAGGCCACTACGAAACACACCAACGAACGGGTCGAACGGTGAGGGAGGGCGCCGCCTCTTTTCCACTTAGCGAATGGGACTCTGGAGATGGCACGGGAGAAAAGAAGGTTTGTTTGGCTGTTGGGGGAAAAACGTCAGTAACTTATGCCACAGCGGTTGAATCAATGATACATGTAGACTTCAGCCCATTGCCACAGCGCGCGCGTATGTATACACACTACCACGGGGTATCACGATTTGCAGGTCACAGCACAATTACAGTTGCGCATCGACCTGATGGGTCCACGTATTCAAATGTCGATTCACCGCATTCATAATGACTGCCACGACATACGACACCTCAGTTGTTCACCAGTCAGACAGACACCGACAAGGCACAACAATATGCAAGTGCAAGCCGTCACCGACAGAAACAAAATCACTCGGCACACTGAGCTGGCTGCATGTTCCTTCTCGTGGCACTTCATCACTTGCTTTTGCCGTCCCCGGCGTTTCAAACAATCCCTTCTCAGAGAACGCCACTGGCTCACGGCATTCGTTCTTGTCATTCGCCCAAGAATAGAACATGAACGATTTCGATGTCCTGAAGTAAATGAGCTCTTCATCAATAACCCGAGAGCTAGAAGGTGATCAACGATTACCGTACCGTCTTTCTACGTTTGCTAGCTCTTTTCCGGTCTAGCCTACCGCTGGAACCAGTGTTCCTGATTTCCGTTTACACATCTCATCAATAAGCCTGGCATAATCTGCTGACGCGGCCGGCGATCTGGTGTCTCTGGCGGGTTCAATTTTTGGCAGTGGACCAGAGCAAAGACTCTGCGATGCCTGCCAGGTACAACGACCTGGTTGGCTATCTAGGGGAGGCAATAAAACTTAGGACCACAATCCTAAACGATAAAAAGATTTAGGTAAGTTAGCCTAAGTTTAGGGGCTTCTTTGATGGGTTTATTTTGGCATCCACTTTCAGAGTCCGAAGTTTTCTTGCTCCCCTGGGGCTCTGTCGGGATTGGGATGACTGGGAGGTGAGATGGACCAATCAAGTAGCCTTGGTACCTGGCAGGGATGGGAGCCCCTACCCCTGGGAACTTCGCGGAAGCAGAGCTTGAACTTGGACTGAAAGGGTGGTGGGCCTGATCCATGACCTTGGCATTTGGTGCTAGTGTCGTTTCTGCATTAGCACTGGTACTGGTGCCAGTGCAAGCGTTGCTCGTAGCTCGCCCACTTCCCAGGTCCACAACCCAGCATTGCATATGCGTTCTGGCCGAAGGAGACGGAGAGGGATGTGGGAATTGCAGCAAGGATCTTGTCCAGCAACCTAGAGAAGCGGACCTGAACTGCAGGGGCGTGCCAGCTTCTGAACGAGAACGGAAGAACGTAGCCAGACAAGAGAGATGAGAGACATGGCGCCCACACACACCACGCCACACCTCCCAACTTGGGTTGAAAGGAGACTCAAGACACACACCCCTTGCTCACCTTATAACCCTCAATTCCTCCCCCTTCTGTCTCTGCTTCTATTCTTCACTCCTCAGTATTTTTGGATCACGGCCTTTGCCTTCTGTCACTCCTTCACAGTACCACGCTGATAACACTCTCTTGAACCAACTTACCTTACAATCCTTATAAAGGCAAAAGGAAGTATTCCGGAAATACAACCGATTACCAAAAGCCGTCACTCTTCCAACACAAATCAGTCAAAATGAAGGTCTCTTCCTCCGTTGTCATTCTGGCCGCCGCCCTCGGCGTCTCTGCCCACCCCAGCGGCCACGCTCACCAGCGTGCTCACGCCAAGCGCGACTTCGTCGTTGCCAACAAGCCCGTCACCGTTGTTGAGTACGCTACTCAGGTCGTCACCGCTGACGCCGCCCCTGCTACCGCTGTCCCTGAGGCTCCCGCCTCTCCCAAGGTCGATGCCGACACCGTCCCCAAGGCTGCCGCCAGCGGTCCCGCTCCTGCTGCTTCCGCTCCTGCCAAGTCCAACAAGAACAAGGGCAAGAAGCACAACTCTAGCTCCGGCTCCGGTTACAAGCCTTTCTGCGGTGGCAAGAAGGCCAAGCGTGCCACTCTTGAGGACATTGCTGCCACTGGCAACACTGGTGTTCCCGGTGACTTTGGCTGCAACATGATGACCGTCGATGAGGATGTCGCCGATAAGTACGACTACACTGCCACCTTCAACAACGACCACGACTCCGAGAAGGAGTGTGCTTGCTGGAACAAGATCGGACCTCTGGGCAAGATCGACGGTTTCTTCGCGCAGAACGTTGCCTTGACCTTCACTGTTCCCGCCTCTAGCTCCCAGGTTGTTGCTTTCGACAGTGACTCCCAGGGCGGTTGCGCTTGTGCCAGCGGCAAGGTTCCCACCACTTCAGACAACCAGTGGGCCGGTACTTGGCTCGAGTTCGACTTCGGCAGCAAGCGAAACAACAACTGGTCTGGCGCTGACGCTTCTTGCCTTGTCGCCGCCGCCAAGAACCTTGACATCCCCGGTCTCCGAGTCTGCGACGCTGACAACACTTGCTCCACCATCAACCCCGGTGGCACTGGCAAGAACGCTTACCTCGGTGGCATGGAGGCTCTCGACGGCATTGGTATCAACACTCCTGCGAAGCAGGTCCGTCTCACTGTCGATATCGACTACTCCGCTTAAGCTATATCATAGTCTGTGGTTTGGTTCATTTGAGAGCTGGACCTCTGCGTAAAACTTGATTTTATAGAATTGGGCTTATTCTATCTATACCTGGTGTTTACGGTGCTCGGAATTTAGCTATCCAGGGCGATCCTGGATCTTGGCTTTGGGATCTATTATACCTTCTAACATATATATATTCATAGTGTTATGACATATATTCATTTCTCCTACTTGTTGATCTGTGACTGGGTTTTGTTGTGATGGAATGTCGTTGCTTCAGTTTTATTAATGTGTTGATCCCCCCGCCAATCCCCAGATTTTGTCAATCCTTCATGCCAAGTGATTCATTTATCGTGAATCCATCCCGATCGCACCAAACCCTGTGAGCGAAAGGATCACAACCCTCGAGAAAACGCAACTTGGATCAATAAGATGGCCCCCAATGCAACAACCAACAGTGGATGAGACCCACCATGATCAACACAATTTTCATCTCTTTATCGAAAGTCTCTGCCTTTTTCTTGCGTCTTTTTCTCTTCACTTGCAGTTCTTGGTATGTTCTCTATGATGGGGACATGACAATCAGACTTTTCACGATAGGCTGTGAGCTGCCCACGAGCTGCTCTGGTGGTGCTGCTAATGCAGGTTCAGCTTGTTTCAAGATAGGGGCTAGTGGGCCTTTGTCCTTGTTTACAGTGCATATGCACGCAACGCTTACGCGGAATTTGTTTACTTTTGTTGGTTGTACAATCAATAAGCTTCAATATATTTTTGAGACTATAGGGTCTTTGAGTTACCTCGAGATCATAATTACTCAGCTGTGACGAAGGTGGTTGAAAAATAGTGTCACACAAAATCATTAGAAGCCGTTCGTAGACTTCATTCCTCGGTAGCGGGCCGCACGACCACAAAGGCAAAGCCATGTGCTTGTCTTCCTCCAACGAGTAACTAGAAGAAACTTTACTCTTTAGCAGCAACCGCTGATTCAACGCTCGCTCGCTTCTGAGGCATAAACTTTGTTCTTGGGGCTTTTGCCTCCCAACGGCTTTCGGTACCTGAATCTTAAAGCCAATCAGAGCAGTCTATGCCCTGACTAGTACCTGGCAGATCACAACGTGGCGTGGGTGGAGTCAATACAAAGCCCTGCCCTACCCTACACGACAGACTTTGAAAGTGCGCTGACTCAATCGTGACAAGTCTTTTTAGCCTTGGATGTCACATGCTGTGAGACTTTTCTGTCTTCGTCACCTGTTGTCGTGGACGTTCTTGGCGTATACTTGTCTTTGACTCACGATGGGACTGTGGAGTGACTGTCACCGAGTAAGTGTGAGATGGTGGGGATGATAAGTCAAGATAGAGGGTTGTAAAAAAGGTGGAGGTGTTTAAAGTGTGTGCATCGCAGAGTAAAGCTTGTGATATTTAATGCAGCTCGCTCAGAAGGGTCATTAAAGGAATTATTGAGTTACTGTTGTGTAGTATTGCAGTCGTCCAACTGCCACCAAACAGTCATCGACACAGCCATACAGTCTCAACTGTTTAAACAAAACACTCCAAGATTCTGCAAAGAAACTTCTGGCAGAACTCATAAATCGCTCAAGATCAATATCTGCAGTCCAAGTCACTGACAGAAACGCTAAGGACACCGATATCGTGCCGTGGACCCAACTAGCCATGCGTCAAGCTCAGCGAGAAACCACTCGGGCCGTGGCGATGTGATGGGAACTGTTTAACTAGTGGCGAAGAACACCGAAGACACTTAATGAGCAGTACTTGATTCGTAAGGTGGAATTCCGCCTGACAGGCGGATTGCCCGCTGGACATGATTCACGGAGACCATTTAAGCTACTGGGGACTAGAATATGCAAAGAGAAGTTTTCATGGTTAGTGGGCTACCATGAACATGCAGTCCAAGAAGTAGTGTAAGCAATCGGCTGGAAGCAAAATGTCAACTTGTGGCACACCGTTCCATTGTAAGTCGGTGTTGTTATAGCCTATCGGAGGTTGAGTGCTTGAGAAACTAGCAGTGACTGCATGAGGGCCGTCAAACTTTAATGGTGTTTGTTAACACAGCATAGGCGTCGGTTCACCGATGCGGGAGTTGTTTGAACCGTTAAAGTATGCTTGGTAGTTGTGGAGGGTATTGAAGGCAGTGTTTAACCTACTGGGTTACATGTGCTTTCGAAACATAGGAAGCTGACTGATAAGGAGGTATCGATCAAGTTCAATATCTGATATGGTTACATACAGCATGGAATCTATAAGGCATCATCGCTTACGCTTAAAAACTTGAACTACCACAACTACTGCCCCCTCCACAACTCGAACTACCACCACAGCTAGAACTACCCCCTCCACAACTTGAATGTGAATTACTAACACTCGCTGCAGCGAGAGCAGCAGCAGTAGCCGCCTCGGCCACCCTGATAGTCTCCCCACTTGCACAGTCTGCTGCATTGCGTGTTGAGCTTCCACACCCGCTTGCGCAGACATGACACGGCTTCTCGGATGTTGGACTGAAGTGGGAGTCGCTGTAGCAGCCATCTACCTTATCCATGCCTATGTGGTGATGGGGCGCTAAGTTGATGATGTCGATGTCGGGTGTAGGGTTCGTACCTCCGAAGTCAACAAAGTTGTATTGCGTCAAGTCTGTGTGTCCGCTGAAACGTCGCTTTCGTAGATAAACTGGCATATCAGGTAGACCGACACGGCCGTCTCGCTGGAGTTCATACGCTTGGACTTGCTTGGCGCGAGTGAGGGTTGCCCACGGAGCAATAAAGAAATGGCTGTAAACTCCCGCTTCGTAGTAGTGGCTGCATGGCTGAGCACGGTGAATTCCACCAAGTTTGACTCTTGCTAAGGAGGGATCAAGGGTACTCTGTGTAAGGTCTTTGTGTAGCCATGCAGTGGCCTTTTGGAACTTGACTGACTGAGCCATGGCTGTGGCAGCTCGGTGAAGAACAGACATAGCTGAGAGCACTGTAAGTCTGTTGCGCATCCACGAACTTGCAGTGGCACCTTTGCCAACAGCTGTCAAGTCCTGATCAGTCAATGCCGGTCCGTACATGTGACGGTCGCGTGAGAGATGATGAGAGGATATAGACCATGAGTCGAATGGGAAAGCCCAAACATGCTTGGCAAGATTGCAATCACCGCATTTGGTAGGATATCTCCCATAAGCCTCTGTACAATCCCAAGGATACAAGTCCTGGTATTTATACAGCGTGCTGCCAAAAGCGCCCCAGTCATACCAGTACTCTTGATATGTATCGATGATATCAGACTCATCGTGTCGTCCGAAGTGGAAACGTAGAAGGTATTCTTCAGTGAGTCCAAACGGAACATCGAACTTGGTTCGTACACCTCGTCTCTTGTATCCTTCATCGGGGCATACAAAGCTCATGGTGTAAAGAGGAGACACGTCAGCAGACATGTCGCCAGGTTGTCCGTTAACAAGAGGCTGGAAGATCGTCTTGTCAATCAGTGAACTGCAGAAAGTCTGACAGTTGTTATGTGTTGCACTCCAAGCCAGCTTAACGTCTTGGTCCAAAAGTCGCTCTGAGATACTACCAAGATATATTTTTAGCCTGGGACTAAGTAGCGTCCTGAGTTTCTCTAAAGCTGGCTCGAGTAGTTTGTTGAGCAGTTGAATTTGATCAGACGTAGGTAATCCAGGATCGTCAAACGGCTGTTTGCAAGCAGCCAGGAGATCCCGGACTATAGAAAGTTCTTGCTCATGTGAAACGTAGTCTCCGCTAAAGGGCACACCGACGACTTGTTTCATGATGGCCTTGTATCTCTTGCGGCTGGTGGCTTTTCGTTTGCGTTTCCACACAGGACGATCCAGACCGCCTCCAATTGCGAGGTCTCTGTCGGGCATTGTCTGTAGATGGAACCGTTCGTGGAAGATAGGCATTTCTCGAAGAGACACGAGGGCGCCGCCCTTGGTGCTGTATTATCTGTGAGTTACTATTCGAATGGCTAAGGAAAAAAAGGAATACTCACTGTGAAACTCCGTTCTCAATGACGATAGGGCCAACACGGAGTGCCATGTGGACATTTCCATAAGGATACTTCTCAACGTACTTCCTGAAGAACAGAGGGATGTCTCCGTCTTCTGCTGCCTCTTCCGCCACGGTGACACTAGTCGAAGCAGGTGATCGATCAGTTGCATGCAAACTGGTCTCCTGAACAGTCTTCATCCTCTTGAGCCGTCCACCCCGAGGTCCAGATTCATTCTTCGACTTCGGCTCTTCCTCGTCTTCGAAGTCACTAACATCCCCCTTGGTAGAAGACATGAATCCGTAGGACCAGGTGTTCCTGTGTTTTTGCTGCTCCTCCACTCTTGCCTTCCAATTGGACTTCTCGATCTCTTTCTGAGACCGAGGCTTCGCTCCCACACTGCTTTGCAGTCCGAGATATTTGGCCATAGCAACCGCCTCGCCAAGTTGAAGAAGCTTGCACTTATCCTTGATATTGCTACCGAAGCCAGTGTGCCCTTCTGGCCAGGATATGGGAAACAAGGGCTCATCGGTGCTTGCATCATGGATTCTTTGACACGTACACAACTTCCTGCTGATCTCAGGGGTGATTGTCTCTGACAGGATGCAGTGCTTATAAGCCTTTGTATATGGGTCTTTTCCGTAGTAATGATTTCGATAACATTCTTCGCAGATTATGCCAGGATCGGAGCCATCATCGCTGCGAATGAACATGCTTCCTCGAACAACTTTCTTGCATTGTTTTCGCATGCAACGAAGAGGTTCAAAATTTGGAGTGAAGTCATCATTGAACTTTGAAAGTGCAACTAGTGTGATATGAGCAACGTAGAAGGGCTCGTGCCGGGAATAGGCTCACGTTGGGGAATGGCTGGCCTCTTCCAGAATCCGAACATGTCTGGAGGTGGGCGATGCTCAATCAGTTTTTCCATATCAAGAAAGCCTGATGATCTAATCAGTCATATTGTTCGAGTGTTTGCAAAGGATATCACATACCAGCAGCTTGGAGGAGGATCCATGCCCTATGCTCCGGACCTTTGAGCTTGGTACTGGCTAAAAAGTGTAAGTAGGTCTTCCATAGACGTCTGAGAATAGCGGATCCTACCTTGGATCGACTCTCTTACATCACCCTTGATCTGATCACTTGCTTGCTGTGTGATTCGATCTGATATGGAATCGATAAGAGCATCTCTGGCAAATTTACGCCCATACGCCCTGTTTTTAGTTGACCAATCTTTCATATACCGAGCCTGTTCCTGCTTCATTTTCCCTGTGAACTGTTACCATGATTTAACTACTAGAGAGAATCTCATACTTACCATATCGTATGGCATGTGCTCGAGATTGCTGACTGACTGAGTCAAGAAACGTATCGAAGCCATGGATGAGATCATCACCCTCGTCTTCAACCGAGACATCAGCGAATTCTGGCTGCTGCCACGCTTTAAGCGTGCGAACAATGTTCTCGAGCTCGGCTTTGACGCCATCCCAGTACAAGTTCTCAAGTTCTGAGAGAACATGGTCTTTCCCGGGGCCAACGCGGGTCCATGATATGTCAGGCGCAGAAGTAATATGGGATGAAGGCAGTGAAGATGCTGCGAGCACAGGAAGAACCTTTTGCCTTAATCGTGACATTGTGAATGACTTAGAAGAAGAACGGTTGTCGATGGTTCAAGCTGTATGTTCCGATAACTGTCGAGCGAATACGATCATTCTTATTCAACCGATGAGGTATCTCGCCGATATCCAGAAAATAGGCATCATCATTACTGTGTGGTCTCTAAGACATTCATCGTCGAAAGCCTCACAGACTGCCTTCTCGTCTGATGCTGCGCCCCAGCAAGGACCCTGTTTAATTAGTTCAGCTCGCCCGACTAGAGTGTTTCAACACCCAAAACAGCAAGATTGTCGCTGGAACTTCAGTAGACCACCTCTAAATTCCGCAATTTTGCAAGACATTTCCGCTAGTGAGGCAGATTAAGAGGAGAATAAACAAGGGGTTTGATGGTTGCCTGTGGATAATTACCTCTTGCCAAGGTATTGGACGCCTATGTTATGGTCAGAAGATACATGAATGCTCTGTCAAACTAGTAGAGGTGTGAAGTACCGACAGGGGTATAATGTTAATGGAAAATGATGATCAAGGCCAGCTTCATCGGCTCAGCCTTGCGGTTCGACTCATCTGATGCTCTAGTCGTCTTGGTATGATCGAGGCGTACCAGCCCAGAGGATGATATCAAGGGCTAACCGTCAACACCAAACCCCGGGCATTCTTTTGCGACTCAGACTCAATCACTTATCTACTTGGAAGACCTAGCGAATTTACTCACTTCCTAAAGCACTTCGCCTTCATACCTAGACCTCACTTGAAGATGTCGCACCTCATCGGTTATAACACAGGTGCCCTTCACCAAGCCAGCAGCGACTTCAACAAAGACATAACAAAGACCTACTATCCATCAGCCACCGACTTGGATGAAAATCCCATCATCCCCAGTCCAGACATCTTCAGCCAACTCGACGACTCCCATAAAGATAACCTACCCACCACAGTGCAATGCGCCGTTCATCTAGAATTGCTAGAAACCTTTCATGCGTTGCGCATCAAGATTCTCGACTCAAAGAAACTCGACGAGGCATTCAACTTGGGCGAACCGACCAAGAAGATCTATCGTCGCAAGTATATTAAAGGCTTGAAAAAGCATGTTAATGAAGAAGTTACACTCAGAAACACGTCGTGGGAGGCCAGGCGGGATAAGAAATGGACGTGGTATCTTGGAGAAGCAGCGCAGAGGTTTCTGGTATGGGCTGCAAAGTTCAATGCTTGGTTGACTTCAACGATGGGAAAAGACGGCGCCAACGATGGAAAGACTGGAATACCAATGACTGATTCCTCATGGCTGCCACCTGTGGGTGAGTATACCACTTCTTCCCAAACTGGCACGTAACTGACACTTCAGCAAGATATATTAATGATTTGGCATGCTTTCCTTCTCAACCCTTCTGACTATCTGGACTACTGCCGAAATCAAAACTGGGACTATCTTCCAAGAGTCAATTTCCCATGGAAGCTTATCGTGCGTTCATACCCGACAATGCCACCAACTCATTAACATGAACTAATTACTATATAGCACGGTTCAATCAGGTCGCAAGGCCCCATCCGTGATGCCTGGGTAGTCACTGGAGAGACCTGGGAAGTTCCCGAAGGAGAAGCAGTCATTCCAGGCAATCTCCTCAAATCAATTATTCAAAGAGGCAACATGCAAACACAAGATATAGGCAAGCCATATGCTTCTCGCTTCATTGCCAAACTCGTCGACAACGTTGAGCGCCAACGCGTCTTTGTCAAAAAGATGAACGCTCATCTATGGATACGAAGCCCAGCGTTGCAGGGGACACTTCGTCGAGCAGTTGAGAGATACGAAAGGTATCTTAGGCTTTTTAAATTCTACCCTGGCAAGATGCTCGTTCCCGCACTTGACATCGACCTCGTTTGGCACACTAGCCAACTCTCAGCAACAGCGTACTTGAATTCCATGGAAGCACGTTGTGGCCGCTTCATTAACCACGATGACAAGATCGGAAAGTCGAAACTGGCAGTCGGAAATGATGAGACCCAGTCTCTTTATCGGGTCCGTTTTGGAGAAGAGTACACGGTTTGCTTGTGTTGGGAGTGTCAGGCTATTATGTCGGCTGTTGAGGATTCTGCTGATGGGGATGAGTTTCTTGGGGAGTCGCCAACTCCAGGTTTTGCTGAGACCCTCGTTGATAAGATATTGGCTGATGTCAAGTTTTATCGGGCTGTGGAATCTGCAAGACGGAGAAATCATGTGAAGTTGCCAATTCGCCCAGTGGACAAGAAGGATTCTCATAATTGGCCATTCATTCCTCAGTAAAAACTATTCTTGGTCAAGAAGTTTATCCTTATAGTCTCCGTCTGGCTCCCAGGCTGACCGATTGTTGAAACGTCCCTGTTCTAGAGCACCGATCCTTTCTTCGTAGAGTCTCTTGCCATGAACAGCAACTCGGCAGAATAGCAACTTTTGGAACTCCGAAGTACTTACTTCAACTGCTTTGAGACTTATCTGGTTGTCAACGAAGCGCGTCAGCAAGATAACCCTGGGTCCGACATGGTTGTAGACAGGCTGCGGAAAGCGCCAGAAATTTGATTCCTTGACAGGAAAGTCTTCAGACTCGTCTGAAAGACGGCGTTTCTCATCCCTAGTAGCTTCCAAAGCAGCGCTGACTATCTCCTCGCTTGTTTCAAGCTCAGAAATATTTGCTTTCGGTGGCAAGTCCAACATAGCTCTGGCGACATCTACCAGAGATAAGATGTATGGTTTGTCGGCTCGAGTTACCACATCGAACTCATTGATAATGTTGACGCATACGGTTCCATTACTTGGGTGAAATATGCCGTGGTCAACGGGCTGAGTCAAACAAGGGGGCGCACCAAACGTTATGCACGAGAAGTTTGCAGACCGGCCTGTATCTTGTAAGATAATTTCTCCTGCCCCATGTTTGTTCTCATAACTTACTTAAATCTTGGTCAGATATATGGCGAAGATATAGCAATTGTGATACAGCTCCGCCGGCGGAATGTCCTGTAAAAAGAATATGCGGTTTTCCCCCACTTGTCTCATAAAAAACCTCCAGGTATTTATTGATTATGTTTGTAACAATCGAGTCCAGAGCTCGTGCACTATTCAGGAAGCCAGAATGGGCTCTGAGGCCCTCTATGCATCCCTTCGACCATTAGTTGGGTGAAGTCTTGAAGGAGACGGCATCAAAAGGGCTTCCTATCCAAAAATGACAAAAGAGAACTCACAATGAAACTTTCGGTCGTCCTGGGCTGAGCATTGGCATTAACAATGTGGTCCATCTTACTGGCACTCCCACGTATCGCAAGCACCAGAACCGGTAATGAATCAATTGTCCCTGAACCTGCCTTTGCCTCGACGACAGTTGATGTAATGAGCTTGACGGTTCCGGCGAAGGAGCTATCGACTACTTGATCACGGCGAAACGTGCAGTAACTGGTATCGGCCATGATGCCCTCCAGGTCATAAGTCCCACGAGCACACTTCCAGGCCGCGGATATGAGCTGGACTTCAGCTTGAGACCTATAAAATCGAATCAGAATGTTATGTTCGCAATGTCAATGAAAACACTCACGGGTTCCATTCTATTGATTCGTCATCGTTGACCTTAGAGTTGGTGTACTTGGCTGCTTCTTGATCTAGACGTTCAAGCAGCTGCCGAAGTTGCTCGTTCAAGCTACCTAATGGTCAAGTCAGTGGGTGTTGATCAGCTAGGTCAGATTTATAATTGACCATTTAAGTTGATCTCGCTCAAGGTATCAGTCAGAGCGCTCGATAATTCGTACCCAGCGACTGATGCCCCATGTGTGTTGTTGACTGAGTATGCGATCTTTGAAGAAGACGAGCCCATGATAGATTGCGAGTTTGTATGTGAGATATTTTTTGATTGACTTGGACATGGATCTTGTTTTAACGAGTGGTTTATGCGGCGTGTGGTATGAAGTGCTGGGTTGACATTGTGCTATAGGAGGGAGCTAGTTCCGCCGCATTGATGGAGAGGATCAACACGATTAAAAGCACAGGCGTTGAGACCTCGTGACTGCTGACGCTGCGCCTCGAAATTTATACAAAACTGCTTTTGTCACCGAAGAAGGTATCTTCCAATACATTTTTGGTATTGATCTGCGAAGATGAAGATCATTGTCAGGTGATTATTGATCTACACCAGAGTTGCAGTCTCTCAATTTAGCTCCAGATCCAGCCCAGAGCCGTTGGAAGATCAATATCTCGGCAGCCCGAGCTCTTCCGTGGAATCAGACGACACTAGTGACATTCGAAACATCGCTTGAATTGAGTTGGGCAAGTCTTCGCTTCAGATATTTTTACCAGGTCATGGGGAGACTGATCTGAAACCTCTTGCGAAAGCTTCCGGATTATCGGGAGTAAGGCATTGATGCTGGACGCGAACTCATTCACAGTAACCAGTTGGATAATTGAAGTGTATTTCTTTACTGGCTTTCAAGCAACTGCACTGTGAATCCAGGTGTGGCTATGCTCCAACACCAATAAAACACAACCTCACACCTTTGCTGGCGACGACAACACACAAGTTGAAATGTCTGTCTCATCCTTGTCGCTTATTAGAAAAAGTGTTATATCTGACGACGCGATAATTGCAGCATCAGCCTGACGGGGCACTTTCGTCCTGTTAATTTACCAAGTCCAGGGCAAGAAAATAAATGCCGCTCACCACGAGAAAACGTTTCTTGTCAAAATGTTTGGTTTACTACCAGACAGGCATCTGCAGCGTGTTTAATTGAACAAGGCAAGGATTTATTTTCCGGTGATAATCATCAGCATTGCCATAACGCGCCAAGCTATGGGAATGTATAATTTCGCCTGTGAGTGATTTGTTCAAGCGCATGGATGGCAGGGGTATCCTCACTTTATGCAGGCAAAGTCCCCCATTCCATCTGGGGAACACAACGTCTTTTTGGGCAATTCACCCTGAGCTAAATGCTCACGGAACGATAGTGTCCTCCTTGAAAGATATTTCTCCGCGCATGTAACCACCCTTGTCCATAACTTGCGGCTGCTAAGAAACAGCAACTGACGGTTGACCGCAGTCCTAAACGCCTCATCGCAAGCGACGAAAAACATTGAAATCATAGGGTTGCAGTGCTATCGAATACCCTGACCAATAATTGAAACTTACGTCTGCTGTGCTGCCAGGTCTTCGGAACCCAAGGAGAATAACCCCTGTTGGCCCTGTTTCATATAGACTCGGCTTATCCTCTTGTGGGCTACCGTCTCCTTATGACACGGAGAAGCAATGACATTTTGAGGCTCCTCCGACCAAGACATGGGACGGGGAACTGCAGACATGCAAGTGCTCGCCTGCTTGGCCTTGTAAAACTGTATTATAGTAGGGCATTAGCTCTCTGTTACCTTGGGTACTCCCTATTCTAGGTATTCTACTCTGCTGGCATTATGTATAGAGTAGTCTACTTATGCAAACAAGGAAGGCCTTGATATCTATCAATCATCCAATGTGATTTGTCTCTTCTCTTCTTCTCCTTCTCACTGGCATCTAGTCACTTGCACTTCTGTCTGTTTTTGCTTCTTGCTTACCTACCTTACGTCTTTCGTTAAAAGTTTCTTCCAATTGTTTTCCAGTCCTGGCCTTGGCTGCATTCATTCTTTTGTCCTCGCCGCTCTCTTTCTCTTCCACTTCTGATACGTTTCATCACGTCACGTCTGCTTCAATTCCATTTCACGAGAACCTGTTTTACGACTTATTCTGCTACGACTTCTCTCTCAACATGGCGATATAGAATCCTGGGGAAAACTCCACGGTAGCATATTTCAGCATCATGGTTTTGCTGCCAAATACCATAATGACCCGACGATGCACAATACTGAATACTCTAGATAATCACACAACTTTCTAGCGACGATGGAGTCTCAAGCGGAACAAAGTACGAAACTTCCTCGTCCAATGATACGTCAACCTGTTGACTCGTACCATCGACATATCCGCGCCGTCCATGGAGTCGACAATTCTTCAGAGCCAGGATCTTCAAGTGGCTTGGGAAGATCAGACTCGCGCCGACTTGGGTCAGCTTTTTCAGGCTCCCAGCACGGAAACGTCGCTTCGTTCTTCGATTCCGAAAGATTGGCCAGTTCTGCTGCTCCGTTTGATCCAAGTAATAATCCTTCACCAACAAGAAGCAGTGGAATACGATGGCCTTTTCTAGGAAGCATCAAATCGCGGATGAGCCAAGCTTTCCCTGATTCACCGCACCTTTCGCCCTCCGAACCTACTCAAATTGATTTACCATGGCGTCCAGTCCTTCTACATCGACGAATCTTGGCCATCTATGCTGTTGTGTTTGTTGCTCTGATAGCAGGAGTGCAAGTCGCACTTCAGTTATCTGAATACAATGGCGGTCTTCACGAGTCCGACGATCTTTCAAGATATTTGTGGCAATATGGAACAACTATAATATTTATTCTCGTGGCTGCTTTCTGGTACAGAGTTGAGTTCCAGGCTTCTGCTTCCATGCCGTGGATCCGCATGTTGAACACACAAGTTGAAGCTGATAAGTCTCTCTTGCTGGATTACGTTTCTCTTTCTGAACCGGTGGCCGTTGTCAAAGCAATTCGAAACAAGGACTGGCTAGTAGCGATTCCAGTCATCGCTGGTATAATCTTCAAAATAATAGTCATTCTCTCCGTGGCTTTCATCACACCCAAAGTCACCACGGTTGCCAACCACAAGATTACTACAACAATTCAATCCGAATTCTCCAACAGCATTTCCGGACTGGAAGACGTTGGGTCTTTGCCGTACTTCACTCTTGCCGCTCTGGCAGTTGACAATATCACTTTTCCAAACGGAGTTACATCTCGAGCAGCTTACACGCCATTTATAAGCGATATCCCCGAACTTAAACAGATCACAGCAGGTGTAGATGGTTTTGTCGGTGGCATGGATTGTGAAGAAGCCGAGTTAACTTTGGACTCAATGCGACTACAGAATGGGAATGCTCTGTTGTTGAACATGACACTATCAGATGGAACTTGTTCCTCAAAGCAAACGATTACAAGCACGAAACTCGTCAACACGAGGAACGAAGACCTTTCGAGAGGGTTTCTTGCGTTCCAGCCGGGTAGATGTGGAAGTTCTGCGAAGGACGATGATCAGCGAATAGCTGTCATGGCTGGTGTTCTGGATCTCGATATCGATCAGCTCAAGCGCCAGTCAAGGACATCGAACAATCGCCTTAGTGGTAAAACATCGTCATCTGCTGCATTTCTATGCAAACCTAACTACATGATTACAAGGATAAAGGTTTCCAAAACGCCCGAGGCCGTCCTCTCAGCCAAACCCGACCGACAGGCGACAAATACCACCCTAAGTCAAGTGCCAGCGTGGACTGTTGCTCGAGCTATATTTGACACTCTGAATTCCGACCAAGGGACAGAAATGAAGCTATTTGCAACGTTCACGAACTCTTCATACAGCCAACAAGCCATTCTTGATACCGACGAAGCTATGTCAGCTGCCCTCGTGTTGAGCTCAAGGGATGGAGGGGATTTGCCTAATCTGCAGTCTTTAACGGAGAACGATACTTTGAGAAGACTTTCCGAGGATTTCTTCACTCAGTATTCGGCCCTCATTGCTCGATATGCCATGATGGAGCCATCATCAAGCACTTCAACAGCTATTGCGAGCTACATTGAACGCCGTATTGTTGTAAGACCGGTGCCAGCATACCTCATAACGGCATTCCTCGCTATCTGCTCCGCTTTGGCAGTATCGACAATATTCCTAGTTCCAAGGAAAGGCTTCCTCCCACGAGATCCCAGCACGATAGTAGGAATGGCTTCAGTTGTGGCACATAGCCATCCGCTAGTAGAATGTCTGAAAGGCATGGGAGCTGCACCTAACAAGGCTTTGAGAGCAAGACTCGATGGCTCGACCTACTTGAGCGGAGCTGAAGGTCACGAGAAGTTGGAGAATCCCAACCTGGGCTATTACCACGTCTTTGGAGGCAACGCACCTCCTGCGAACATTCTACCACGACGATTCGACTCCTCAAATTGGAGGCAACCTGTGACATTACATGGACTAATTCGGTTGATCTACATCCTTATTCTCGCTTGCATCATAATAGGATTCGAGGTCTCCCTACGAGTGTCGCAGAGAAATGACGGGCTAAGAACGATGAAGGACGATGGAGCGTACATCGCATGGACTGTTGTACCAGCCTTGGTGCTCCTATTAGTGGCTATGTACATGCTTTCTTTAGAATGGTGGACAAGACTGCTCTCGCCATTTTCGCATCTCTCACGCCAAGGAGAGTTTGGGGAAACCGTCGGGCTGAATCTCGTGAATGCATTGAGGCATGTCGCGTGGTCAAGGGCTCTAAAGATCCGAGATATTGCTGCCCTGGCGGCCATTTCTGGTGGCTTTGTTGCGCTTCTCATGGTAGTCGCAACTGCTCCTCTATTTGAACCCATACCAGTCGGACAAAATACCAGTGTCGCTCTTCGCACCGAGGACTTCTTCGCCAACAGTCTAGCATCCTCCAACGATGATCCCATCTGTACTGACTGCACCAACGATACCATCATGGCATCACTAATACTTGCCGGCGACGCACCATATCCCCCCTTCACCTATGCTAATCTCAACGTACCGAATATGTCACTAGCCGAAGCGGTTGAGGGTGACGATCTCACGTTCAGTGCACGCCTTGCAGCAATCCGCCCAAACATGTCATGCCGACTATACCAGTCCGACGAGATTTCCACCAATCTCACCCTCGAGTACAAACTTGACGACAGGATAGTCAACCCACTTCGTGTCGATCTCGAAGGCGAGACCTGCCGAGGAAATGGAGA